CCGAATCCCGACACAGAACTGAAGCCAAACTAGACCGAAGTGCCAGGATCCAAACATCACGCCCTGCACATGAAACAGACAAGAGAGCGCACTGCTCGAAACTGCGTGCCCAGACAAAGACAAGACAAAACAGGGGTGTCGGGGCTCTGTCACAAAACCAAGAAATAAACTAGACAGAAGTAACAGAACCCTGACACTACCTAGAAGTGACCAGGCAGGGACAGGAGGGTTGAGCCAGGGAGGCTCAGGCTGGTCTGGATTCCTGGCAGGAGGCCAGGGCGGAACTAGAGGGACAGACCCGGGAGACTCCGGCGTGTCTGGAGTTCCGACTGAGGACCGGGCCAGAGCCGGAGGGATGGACCAGGCGGGTTCCGGCAGTTTTGGATTCCTGGCTGAGGGCCAGGGCGATGCAGGCAGCAAGGACGGAGCCGGCAGGTCAAGACACTTGGGTGGCTCTGGGACGGCCTCAGCGGGCTGCTCTGGGATGACAGACTGGTCCGTGGTCAGTAGAACCCATGTGCTTCCTCCAGGCATGCAGGACGGCCAATGCCTAGAAGGCGAAGACAGCCCTCTTGGCCATGGCAGTACTGACGGGGAGAGCGTGCGGCTCTGTCACCTCGGGACCACCGGACCTGGGAGCTCTGGGACCACAGGACATGGGGGCTCTGGGACCGCCGGACCAGGTGAAACAGAGGAAGCCTTCCTCCACTTCCTCTTCCTCTGCTTGCGAGGGCGAGGCTGTGGAAAGGAGCTTACCGCCTCTGGGGGAGCTGAGGCCTCTTCGGCCGCCTCTGGATAGGAGGGAGATGAGGCAGACCTGTTCTTCCTCCTCCCTCTTCCCGAAGGGGTCATTGGAGGACTGGGGATTTGGCAGTTTGTGAGGGGAACGGGAGGTGCGCCAAGAGGCGGAAGGCCAGCCTCTTCTCAACGATTTTATACATACCCCACAAACTGCCAGAATGACGGAATGCCCAGCATTCCCATCTCCCAGGCACGGACAGGCTCATTAAGGCTGTTGTTGAAAATGTCCTGTGTCACTGATGTTGAGCCCCACCGCTACAAACACGAACTGGTGAACAAGCTCCTTCACGCAGGCTCCCCCTTATCGAAGAGAAAGGAGTTGGCTGCGTTGATCCATCTGCTGAGTCCTCTTTTGGCCAGATCGTTCTATCAGGGTTCTGGGTAAGGGATGAAGCGAGGACTCAGGTGCAGAGTTGATAGGCTTTTTAATGATAATAAAATAAAACAAAATACAAACAAAAACACGCAGACATGAACACGCAGCTAATGAGAACTCACACAGAACATGACAACATGAAAGCACACAGCCAGTGTAAAACACAAGCTTTAAAGATTGTAAACACGAACTGCGTGCTACACAGAACACAACAATACTCACGGAAAGAAGAGCGTACGGCCCGAGCGAACTCGAAACCGCACGCTCACACAACAAAACACGCGGAGCATGAATGTCCGAATCCCGACACAGAACTGAAGCCAAACTAGACCGAAGTGCCGGGAACTCAGACAAAGACAAGACAAAACAAGGGTGTCAGTGCTCTGTCACAAAACCAAGAAATAAACTAGACAGAAGTGACAGAACCCTGACACTGCCGAGCGAACGCACATAGTAGCATTATAACAACTTTCCACACACTCAAATTTATCTAATATGACAAGACAGCTCTGCGTTACCCCGCATACGCATGACCGGAAGAAGCGGAAGTGGTCTGCGGCATAATAAAAGCTCCACTGCTCTAGAGCTGTGTGTCGCACTTCTTTCATTAGCAATCGCTCCAGCGGCCTCTTTCCGCTCCAACGGCTTTCGTAACGTTAATAAATCTTTAAAGGGCACCTATTATGCCCCTTTTCACAAGATGTAAAATAGTGTGTATGTGAAGTTTTAGCTCAAAATACCCAACAAAGAATTTTTTACAGCGTGTTTAAATTGTCAAGTCAAGTCAAGTCACCTTTATTTATATAGCGCTTTTTACAATACAGATTGTATCAAAGCGCTTCACAGTGATAACATGAAAACAATATAACAAAGTTTGTTTCTAAAAGAAATTGCGTCAACGTCCACCTTAAGTAAGGCAGATCAATAATATTATTGAATATTAAATGTTAAATGTCCCCAACTAAGCAAGCCAAAAGCCAAGGCAACAGTGGCAAGGAACCAAAACTCCATCAGGTGACAGAATGGAGAAAAAAACCTTGGGAGAAACCAGACTCAGTCGGGGGGCCAGTTCTCCTCTGGCCAACGAAGGAACAGTGCATGATTCGGGCAGCATTACAAGTCAGATTGGATCGGAACATTTAGAGTATTTTTTGGAAGTCCAAGTATGCACGCCGGTCTTAAGACGAGTTGTTGAGGATCAGTGCCGTCCATAGAGAGTCCATATCGCCCGTGTTGAGTCGTCACTTCATAGGCTTTGTGATTGGAGCATCTGAAGTCTCCGTGAGAGGCTGGATACAAACTGGCAACATGACATCATGACTTTGCGTAAACATACACGCCACTTTCAATTCAAGTGGCGTGTTATCTATACGCATTTTGAGCTATCCGCGTGTATGTCCACGCCGAAATCTTTTGCGTGTATGTCTACGCCATTAAACGTCCGAGTGATTCCGCGTGTATGTGTACGCCGTTAAATGTCCGAGCGAAACGAAGCAAAATCTATATTCTACATCTGTGGAGCGATATTTCTTTTCCTAGGATGGTAGGAGAAGACTCATAAATGGTATTAACCCCAGTGACGGGTAGGTTTAGGGACGGGGTTGGGGTAGGTCATATATTTATATGTACATAATACAGTAATATAACGTTAAGTCAAAGGCGTTGATAAACACGCTGAAAAGCGATTATGCGTGTTGATAGCACGCCAAAAATGGAAATACGAATTGGCGTGTCATACATACGCCATTTCATGAGATCAGTCTGAAACTGGAGCTGACGAACGCCATTTTCTCGGGACTCGCGTCCCGAGATAACAGCAGAAAAGCAAAGGGAAAATAATTAGCGTAGCTGCTGTTCATAATGATGATTTCCATAACACAGGCGTAAATGACAAAACATGAAGACAGTGACTCTTGCGTCCCAAAATCACCCCCCTCCGTCCCCCACTCAACTCAGCCCAGCTTACTGACCTCTACGTCCCTCCTGCTGCTGAGACCTAACCACAATCTCACAATCTCTCCGCAACCCAACCATACGCGCCAACCCGTTGACTAAGGCTGTCGAGCCCCACTGGTGCGTGAATATTGTCACTTTTTGGGGCTGAGAAAAACGCACCGTTTTAGAGTGTATCCCTTTAAATGCAAATGACCTGCTGCTGCCGGCACAGAGGGCGGAGCTTCACTAGCTCGCACTCAGTGGCAGGACAATCTCATCTCACGGAATGATAATATCTAAACAGTCCCTCTGTAGCGGTGTTCATTTTGACCTGGAGTCGGATAATAATGCCCACATACGAGCCAGAGAATATGCTGTATGGAGATAGAACAGGTATAGTTTAGTTTAATTACGGTTGTAACTTATTTGTCCACTAAATTTTAAAACTAAATTTGCTTGTATCCACTATTAATACAAGCCTGCTTTAGCGGACCCCGTCCGAATGATGGCCAAAAATATACTGATGAGTTTAATGAAGTTTATTGTACATCACACAAAATATTGAAGCGTCAGTTTTAAATCACTGTAAGAGCTGAATAAACACAGTATAAGAAGTGTGCATTAAAGTCTTATCCATAAACTCTCTCTCCCTTTCATTATCATCAACATACACAGCGAATTACACAAAACACTTGTTACTACAGTAAACAAATATATACACACTTTTTCAGGGGGAGCTTAATAAACTGGTAAACTTTATATCCGTAAAACGAGACGAACTGTAATAGTGCGCGCTCTCCCTGTGATCAGTAACGTTAGGCCTATCGCTCCGGAGACTATAAGCTGGATCACGAACAGTTGGTACAGATCCATCCTCGAGTAACAACGAGAGTAAATGAAGACTGCTATGCTCATTCTTACATCTTATAACAAAACACCTCAATCGCTTAGGAGATATTCTTGTCTACAGCTGCTCCGGCGTCGAAACAATGGCGGACTGTGTTTAGCTCACTCAGGGCGGGTATATGCTAATACTGCAGTGTCCGTCAACAGTCGTGGGAGGGGCCTGTGCAAATCTACATCACTTTGCCACTGGGTAGATTTTCATCATTATAGGGTGGTTGTGTACACACTCTGCCAACACACATTTATGTTCAAACCATGTAAAAGTGAATTTTGGATAAAAGGTGCCCTTTAATACATTACTGGTCCTCCATGAATATGATTTCTCCCTGAGTCCCGTCGTATTCCCCACAGGCGGTAGAGGCGAAGACAACAACTCCCATGATTATCCAAAATCAAGGCTTCGCCTTTGTTTTGAATAAACAACCTCTAGTGGGGAAAAATTACATAGTGTGCCTTTAACAATAGTTAATAAACAAACAAGCGAGGTGGGATTTATTGACATTCCTAACTTTCAGATTCCACGTGACCTGGGCCTGGTTAGAAATACTACAGTATGGGGAGTCACTTGGATAGGCAGATGGAGTAGATGTGTTTGTGTTTTTGAGCCCCTCTATTTATTTATTTCAGTGTATGTTTTTAAATGTATGTATGTATGCATTTTTTTTGTCCTCAATTTCAATACAGTAATATTTAACACATTTTATAATAATGTTATAGTGTAATAATAATGTTTTTTCCAAATTAAAATCAGCATAAATGTAAATGCTTAATTGTTAAGAAAATGTAGAAATGCACAAGATAATATATTTTTGTTTCCATGTCATTTGAACTATTTCAATGAACTTATGGTCTGTTGAGCATGCAGGGACCATCGTAATGTTTGAAAATATTATCAATCAAGTTATAGGTAGATTTATTATAAATGTATCTCATTGACATAATGAGTTATAAAGCAGGCACTGGATGTGGATTGAGGGTGCAGAGTGGGCTGCTAACTGGCTGCATTGATTGGCTGCTGGCTCTGTGTGTGTGCAGCGTAGTAAATGCGGCGCTTGATGACACACCGCCCTCTTCTCTCCTGCAGCTAGCGGCCGTATGTAGCGGGACAGCCTGCTGGAAAGCACATTATTCCCTCCCTCCGAGCTGCCATACAGAACATGTGCATTCCCCTAGTCTCTTGAAATCGTCGTTGTCGTACGTCTATGTGATTCCCAATTGTTCTCATGAGCCTGCTAGGTGGCTACAAGAAAAAGAGCAGTTATGATGGCTACGAATCTTTGCAGCTGGTCGATAGCGGCGGAGACTTGTGCACCGGGGGACGAAGCGGCGGCGGCGGTGGCAGCGGTTTGACGGCAGTGACCCTCGGCAACGTTAAGACAGGCCCCGCGCGGCAGGACGACTACAGCACCATGGACAGCTCAGGTAAGAAAACCGCGTCTACCGGATGGCGCTTGCAGGCCAGCCGCTCCTTCGTTTGATAGACACCAAACAACCTGTTTTGTGTTTTGTTTTTAGTCATGCTGATTTCCTGTAAGAATCCTCGGTGGTAGATTAAATATTAGTTGTCGATATCCGCCGGAAGCATGTGCTTCGTGTCGTCTGTTCGTGTGCTGTGTCATGACAATTGATCAAAGCCACAGAGCTGGCGTATAGGAAGCTACATTGAAACTACTTTGATTGTTAGTTGACAGATAGCTATTGAAATTCGAGTTTGTGAACTAGATATATGTGCATAAATGACGTTTGTTGTTGCCTCATATATTGGTGTGCTATGCAGTTATGCAATTTTCTTTGGACGTGCATGTAGTTGGGCTTATTGCATGCAGTTTTATATGGATTATAGGATAGTAATATCTAAAACAGAGTTTGGATGTCTGTATTATAATACTGGGATTACTCCTGTTTTACTGCAGTGATCTGGGATGAAAGGTGGCCTTCCAGACTGAGACATGAGGAAGAGCTAGTGTCAGGTTCTTGTAGTCCCAGCTGGTGTCTGCTTCGGTCTGGTGTTTTTGCACGTGTGTGAGAGAAAACAAAATGATTTAGCCTACGCTCAAATTGTTTTTGTTAAATTTACAGTAAAAAAAAAGAGAGAGAGAGAGAGAGCGAGAGCGAGAGCGAGCAGTGCTTGCCAGAACTTAAAAAATAAATAAAAACACAGTGAAGATGCTACAAGCATTACATGATGGCACTTTAGGTCATTACATATTTTACAGTTCCTACATAACTTTATATGTCATAAAATTACATAATGTTAATGTTAAAATCTGTTAATTTCTGTAAAATAACAACACATTGCATTATGATTTAAACAAGTTAATCAAAAGCAGCCTTTCCAATCAAAATACTGTATAGTATAGAAATTGCACCAAATTAACAATTCAGATAACAATTAAACGATTATAATTTACATCAAAGATCTACTCTCACAATATAACTGATAACATAACCGAAGAAACACAACTTTGTAAATAATATCTAAACAAATGTGATGGATTGTGAAGGAAAGCAACTGATTATAAGGCAACACTTGTTTTCCTTATGAAGACTATTTCAACATGTCTTAAAAGTATGCACATTGCTTTTTAATGTATTTATTTTTTATAGTAAAACCTCTTTTTAAAATGCAATGCTTTCTTTTCTTATATGGCATGACTAACCATTTGCCAATTACCAATTGTTTCTTATGTTTTTATTGAAAAGACAGTTCTGGCAGGTCACATACAATGAACTATAACAGCATAGTTTTTCATCATAAAGCAGGACCAGCTTACTTTAGTGTTGTTGGAGTGTTGTGGGGCATTGCTGGGTTGTTGATTCTGTGGCTGCTTCATTGCAGTGGCAATGTTTTCAGCATGAAGCCTATTCACAGTGCATTTAGAGTGAGATTCTAATATAAGCTAATTTTAGAGAAAATGCTGACCTTGATCAAACCTCTGTTCATTTAGTTAGTTCCATAATTATTCACTTTGAATTTTATGAGGGAATTTTGAATGTTTTAAATTGCTGCTTGAAAAGACAGTAGCTTTTGTATGAGCCTGTAGGTGATCTATAATTGAAAAGCCAGCCGGGTCTTGTAACAAGACACACAAGCACACAATTATACACACAAACACACACAGGGGGCTGTACATCACAGAGCCACTCTCTGTGACTCAATTCTGCTGAATTAAAGGAGCAAAAGAAAGGAGGATTGTGATAGGGATAGAGAATAAAAGAGCAAATGTGTTAGAAAACCCATTCTTTTATATTACAAATCCACTGATCTGATCTTTGTGGTCAGGATGGCCCCCTCTCTCATGACACATACATACAAGCGCTCTTGGGCTCTTTGTGCGATTAAAAGGAACATTAGTAGGAGTTCAGAGACTCTGTGAGAAGGGCAGCCTTGGACTTTGAAGTCAACTACACTCCTGCGTATTTGCTCACTCAGAATAGAGCTCCTCTGTACCTTAATGGCAAGTCTGACAGGAAGCCCACTCTCTGGCCGGGCCCACTACTAAAACAGTGCCAGGCCACCCTGCTTTTCTAGCTACAACAAGAAGTTGGAGGCAGAAAAGTGCTGACAATTTTCGCTGTTTACTCGTCAAAAAAATAATTTTACATTATATTGAATTTTATTTCTTAAAGCATATTTTTCCATTGACAGTTATTCAAAATGACATGTGTGTTTGATATTATAGTATTATTGTTCTGTAGATTTTTTACCTGTGCCTGCTTTTTTTTGGAGGCCTTTTTTCCTAGTCTGCTACCTATAATTTCACATCTAAGCATGAGACAAAATGTAAAAAACAGGGGCACATACAGAAGACGTGTATATTCTAATCATGTTTCTGATCCTTGTGAGAACTATTTCCCCCACAGAATGTTTCATCTCAGCACATTTGAACACACTGAACACAACTCACTTACAACTGCTGCAGCTCTTTAGAATGAAATACATTTATTCTGAGTGCATGTGTGTTCGGCTGCAGGGAAGTGATCTTAAATGAACATAGAAATGTCAGTAAATTACTGTTTGAGTGTCAAGGCAGGAAATGGCAAGGAGAGAAGGGATTGCAGCTTTAACTTTTATTTAACAAAATAAAGAATACAACTAGAAACTAGTAGCAGGAGAATGCAATTAAACACAGGAAAGCCAAAACATACAAATTAAAAGTCCAAGAGGCTGCCCTTCATCTGCATGCCATGCAGGCTAGAATTGAGAAACATTATTGGATAATTCTTATAATTGACATTTCTCTGGGCCAATCGGAATCTTAGCACTTTTTCTCTTGGCCAATCGGAATCTTAGCACTTGTGTCAGAATCTTGAAGCACACAGCGTCTACTGAGCTCGCCATTGGATGAGACACCACGCGAGTCTGATGGAAACTCATAACGTGTAGGAATCTTTTGTGAAATTCGAGGTAAATCAAGCTTTTTGGAGCAAAAACAAAAGCTATTTATTTGCTTGATTCAATTGACGTTAGCTACCGCTTTTTATGTGATATAATTTACAATAATATTGTATTGTCTAGGGGTGCAAGGGTACATGTAAGTTATTCGTATTGAACCGAAACGGTACGGCCGTCACGGTTCGGTGGACGAATTTGCACAGAGAATACACGGTATAAAAATAAATAAAACTCTAGATAGTGATAAATTTCGCTCTATTCACATTTGGTGTGAACGCAGCATAATGAACAGGATGCGATGTCAAGATTGCAACGCTGGAGTGTGTGTGTGTGTGTGTGTGTGTGTGAGAGAGTGAGTGTGAGAGTGAGTGTGAGAGGCGCGGGCGCGATCGAACAGTGGAAACATAAAAACATACTCCGTAACTTTGTTAATACAGGACATCATTCAAACTGCAAAGGTTTACTTATTTGTGTACACTCGCATTAAAATACAACATTGTGCTTTTGTCAAACTATAAACTCTTGTCAAACTGTAACCTACAACTGTCACCCAACCAAAAACACACACACAGTTTTAAAAGCAAAACATATTTATCCAACCCCATTTCAAAACTGTCTGTGGGTTCCATTTTTTGGACATTCATCAGATCGCATTGGTTTTTATTTCTTGTCCTCAAACAGAGCTCTAATCTGTTTATTTTTAAGTTGCACATTCTACATTGATTAAAAAAGATGTTTTTGATGGTAGTATTATTTTATACGGAAATCAATTATTTATAATTCAGATGAGAATAAAGTTAGGGTTAATTAAAATTAAGGAAAACAAATATATTGATCTGAAATATAGCAAATTAATTTTAAATTCATTCAGGTACAATTACCAAACATATCTCAAGGTCTTTTTGTCTTTTTATTAATTTAATTAATAAACTAATTGTATAAAACTATTGTCAGTGCACTACAAATAAACTGGTTCTAAGCCTTTATCTATCTATAAATTACAGGAACGTCTGTCTGTCTGTGTGTGTGTCTGTCTGTTAATCGCATATCTCTCGAACCGTTAGTCCGATGGATCTCAAACTTGACAGGTGTCTTGCTACGGGCACGAGTAAGTGCAGTGCCGAGTTTGACGTTGTTTGGATTAGAAATGCAAAAGATATCGCTAAATATATCGCTAAAAGAAGCACACATTGGTTTTTGCCGCTCTAGCCGCTGGCCACTCCCCCTCTCCCACTGCACACTGAGTGAGCACAGCGCAGGACCAGAGACAGAGGGACGATGAAAGCAGATTTGCTCCCTGAATCGTCGCGCTTATTCATTTGTTAACTTCATCTGTAAGTCAGCTACGCTGTTTACTTCTTAATATTATATTTAATGCGTTCGCAGTCTCTTTCACGGCCATCATTTGTAGTAAATGCTATTAACGTTATGTGTCATGCGCGCTGAAGTTAGCATGTATATGTTAACTATGTGATGTTTAATGTGCTATGTTAACTATGTGATGTTTAATATGCTATGGTAAATAGTTGCCCTGCCTATTCAACAGTATATAGCAGGCTTTAACGAGCTTAACGAGTATAGTAATATGAAGGTAAAATGATGACATAAAGAATCGCATGCACAGGGTAAGATTTGTGAAAGCGTACATAAGATTGCAAGCGTAAATTAAATTTGCATGTGCAAGAGAAGATTTGTAAAGGTGTAAATCGCCCTTCAAGTGTAAGAAAAAAATATTTGCAGCATTTAACTGTTATTCGTAAGTGTAATTCATGCATTTTGAAGCTGCAGCTTCATGCTAATGCAAAATAAATAGGATCTGTATTCTTCAAACTTTCATTTTTCCGCGCTTATACTTTTGGCACGGTTTTTGCGCACAAATGCGGCCAAAAGCACTGCAAGCCTGTGAACAGCAATTTGCAACCGAAAACAACAGAGGCAGGAACTGCAAAACAGATTAACTGCGTAAAAGTTTAATATGTTTATTTAAAGCTACGCTGTTTACTTCTTAATATCTATAGATATTAAGAAGTAAACAGCGTAGCTGTTTTTACTTCTTAATATATTATTTAATTCTGGTGCGCTTAACATTATCGCTATCTTTCACGGCCATGTAAATATATTACTGTGTCATGCTTAACATTATCGCTATCTTTCACGGGCATGTATCTGTATCCACTCTAAATATATCCTCCAATGCATCATTATGTCAGTATCAGTATGCTTTCTACCATGCACAAATAAAAATGTCACTGGACTTTTGCTGTGTAATTGTAACAATGAGCACTCAAACACACCAAACCAACAATTGCTAAAAACACACACAAAAAAATTATTTTGCACGGGCATTTTGCACTAGTTAATAAAAATTCAAGGCTTAAGACAATTATAAAAATGCCTTCTATTTTTTGGTTTTGCTTTTCACTCCATCGTACCGAACCGTGATGTCTGAACCAAGGTATGAACCGAACCGTGACTTCTGTGTACCGTTCCACCCCTAGTATTGTCGTCATACCAATAAATTACGTTAAGCTATGCTAAAAGTGGTACCGCCAGACCCGGAGATCGGCTGAATGGTTTCCAAAACGGTAAAAAACAATTGTTTTACTCGAGGGGAGGTGGAAAATGAGCTTAATTCCCCAAATGGTGGGATATCCCTGTAACGTTAGCTAGGCTTATCGTTAGCCGGGTACCCAAAGCCTTTACCCTGTGGATACAATTAAATACTATGTGAACCTTCTTCATCGTCGTCTTTGTGCCTTCATGTGCAGCATAACCGTGACAGAAGACCGGACCAGTAAAGTGATATAGATTACGGTTTTGTTTTGTATTAGTGTTTTTTGTAGTTATTTTTTCCCCATCGCCATGGACTCTCCCTCATTCCTGTTAATCTGCCTTGACCAGGGAAATCGCTCCTTCAAGGCACATGTGGCAGAATTCCTTGACCTTGCACATCAATCCAAATTCCCGGAATTTCACCAGCCCCACTCCCAATCCAGTGCCCAGCCAGGAACCTCCAGACAGTGAGGAACGGCAGCATGAGCCCACCGCAGACAGGCATGCACCATGAACTATTATTTTGATTTTGGAGAGGAGGATCCCCTACTCCCTTTAATCCCTCCCGAGCCTGTCTACTCTATTTTGGATGAGATGGTCTGACTCCTTCACCTTCCTCCCTTGAATCCAACAGTAACCTTCGAACTTTCGGTTCCACTGGACTCCTTCGGACCATCGGAGCCTCCACCTGGCTCAGATATCGCCATCATTTCACTACAGACTTGTGGGCCGTTTGCTGCTCTCAGGCCCTCCACCACTACGGCTCTATTTAGCTCCTCCTTCGCTCAAGCTACGCCTCAGCCCTCAGTTGCTCCAGCTCCACCTCAGCCCTTCGGTACCCTGTTTCCATCTCGGGGGTCGTCGATGCAGCTCTGTTGCAGACTCAGGGACTATCAGCATCACTCTGCTCCTTCGGCTCTCTGTCTGTGCCTAGGGCTCCACCTCCATCAGCTCTGTTACCTTCACTCGTCCCCAGGTTGGTGTGGAGACCCTCACCACCTTGGCTCCTCCCTCCAGCAACATTGGCTGTGGCCTGGAGTGCCATCCAGCTGTTCCTGCTCAAGGCCATCCCCTGCTGGATCACACCACCATCTGCATCTCCCTGGACTGCCCTCTGTTTCAGGGAGCGTAATGTCACAATATCACCCTGTTTGGACTCAGTTGCACTATTTCCTGCCAATAGTTTGTCGTCTACAGAAATAAAACCAGAAACAGAGGGTAACAGGCTTCATGATGCAAACAGAGTTAATTTCGGCTGTAGAAAACAGTGTAATTGTTCAGCTGAAGTCAAAATATATAACATTGTTCTAGTGTTTTTGGATATTTTAATCCAAAAATCGTACATATTGTACCTTTTAAATGTTTAGAAAAAATATGTGATGACTGTCACATATACAATTTAAAGAAATTATTTTTTGTACGAATCGGTTGAATGAATGATTCATTGACTATATTTTTCTATTTATTTCCTTTCTATCATTACAGTAGATATCAGTGTTTAGATCCAAACAGCAGCAGCGCAAAGATTTTAATTTTGAAAGCACATTAGTGTGATGGTATCTGTCACGTGTAGACACGAGATACATGACACAGAATTTTTAAGAAAGATACTTTAATAAACACAGAGAGTTTACCCAGGAGAATACACAAAGAATAATCACATTCACCACACTAAATCACAACGAGAACTGACAGAGGATTGAACAAATTTGGAAGTTCTTATACATAGAGAACTCAACTAGATACAGATGGGATTATTAAAGAATTAATAGTGATTTGAAATAAAGATTGCTTTCTTTTAAGGAATTACACTTGGCATTGGCAGCTCTACTATGTACGAACAGGTTTTATCGTTACGCCAGTAGGCAGTGACAAGAAACTTTATGAGTGTGTCATGGAATCATTCGCTCAAGCAATTAGTTCAAAAACAATGATTCATTCAGTAACAAAACAAGCAAGTGAGTCATTCATTCATTAATTCAAACAAATCATTCAAAGTTTTATTCTACATTATTTGGAACTATCTTCATTGACAAATTAAAAATAGACACATATTATACTTGTAGGCCATAGTTTGTTTCATAAAACCCTGAACCCCAGTGAACATTTGACCTCAGTCATCCTCATGTCTAAATGGGAGCAAAAACCAGCAGACCTTCCAACATATAGTAGAAAGTTCGTAGAGGATGCCGTATAGCACCAAAGGGAGGACCACATACTTTTGTCCATCAATTGTATGACAAACTTCCATAGTACGTAAACTGACTAGCTGGGGGACTGTGGGTTGTGTGACTCTCACTGACAGTGGTAGGATCTGTATGTATTAGAATGCGGATGCAGGACATCGTTTGACCACCCAATATTGTAGCCTGTCTACATACTGATGTGAATTGCCAGACATGTGTGTGTGTGTGTGTGTGTGTGTGTGTGTGTGTGTGTGTGTATGAGGAGGTGAAATCTGTAGCTGAGTGGGAGGTAGAAATCTGTAGCTCACTTGCACACAGCTTCATACCGTCAAGTCACCTTTATTTATATAGCTCTTTATACAATAAAGATTTTTTCAAAGCAGCTTTACAGTGACAACAGGAGAATGATGCATTTCTGCTGTTGTTCAGCTATAGTCAGTTCAGTGTTGATTCAGTTCCGTTATAAATACCATCATGATGATACCATCATCATCTAAAGCACATTTGGCTCAAAGGGGATCTGTCCATAATATACAGTAGCATTTATTATAGATTAGCCTATTTATGATGACTCCTATATTTCATATAATGGGTTTGTGAAAGTACCTAGTTTAGAAGAGAAGGTGGTGGACTGGCTTTGGTTTTGAGTGTACAGTAACTATATTTACAAGGGAAACTAAACCTTCAGATAAACACGATCAGCACATGCTTTGATGTTGAGTTTCCTTGGTGATCAGTGCCACTGCAGCATTAGACATCTGCCTAATTGATGCTGCATGTTTGATAGAGAATAGTGTTTTCATGGTAGTCTGCATGGTAGTCATTGTATAAACATGCACTGTACTGTATAATGTGTTGTCATGACTAATGTTTAGCCGAGTTTATACACTACCATTCAAAAGTTTGGGGTCATTAAGATTTTTTCTTAAAATAATATTTTTATTCAGCAAGGATGCATTAAATCATTTAAAAGCGACAATTAAGACTTTCATGTTATTACAACAGATTTTTATTTTTTATTTCATTTAAACTGTATGAAACCGCATAAAACTTTTGAACTGTATTCATTAAAGGATCCTGAAAAAAATGTTTCCACAAAAAAATCACAGTTTCCACAAAAATATTAAGCAGCACAACTGTTTTCAACATTGATAATAATAAATGGCAACTTTTGAATAGTGTATATACTGTATTATCAATATACCAGTCTATCACTAGTCATGAAATGTAAAATGCGTGTTTGTGGTGTCCTGTCTGCATGATGTATGTTGTAAGATATGAAATTCTGCTCATTTGAAGGCCCTCCGTCTCCAGATATGGACGGAAATTATGGAGGGGGACTTCTGGATATGGTGAAAGGAGGTGCTGGAAAGTTCTTCAGCAACATCAAGGACAACCTCAAAGACACCATCAAAGACACCTCTACCAAGGTTATGAACCAGGTGGCCACGTAAGTCCTCATGGTTAATTTGTGTGTAGGTGAAGTTTTGTGTACCCACAAGGAATCACCTGCATTGTCCTCAGAAAACAGCTTGTTAAATATACCAAATAGTGTTGCTCAATAAAAGTCCAAACAAATTTGAGTTTTGTGCATGTTTGCACTTTATCAATGTTTATGTGTAAGACTTCAAAGAAAACAGAGCCAAGGTCTTTCAATAGAGTGACCTACTTTTGTGTAATGTTACTATTAATAGATCAAGATTTCTCAATCTAATGACTCTGTTTAGGTATGTGTGTGTTTGTATTGGCATAAGAATAGAAATGGGCACTCACACAGTGATGGTGTTGGTTTTTTACAACACGGCATCTGGTCTCTCTGAGAATTGACATAAGTATTTAAGTGTTTTTCCTTATATACCTTCATAACCATCATCACTATCATCAACTGCATAACAGACCTGAGACAGAAACCTGCTTGTTCAGCAGGAAACCCCTGTTTACTCTTTGTCATGGTTGTGTGTTTTGTGACCCAGCTGGTGTGCAGTTATCCAGAGGATACTCTGGTGATGCATGGGATAGCTGAGCTTCCAGAACTTCTGAACTATTCATGTGCGTTTATCACTCAGCTGAAAGGAAAGCATTCAACACTAATGGGTAGACATAGCACGAAGTTCTTATGTAATCTAGCATTTTACCCCTGACTGACCCAGAAGCAGATCAGATCCAACTTAGGGTGCTCTTAAGTCAGAGAGCATTATTAAACTCAGTGAAAATTAAATGTAGGTAACCAATAATATTGCTATTAATATTTAGTCTAATATATTAAATCATGATTGGGACATGAAAATGTACTGCGTAATAAGCTTAATGAAGACCTACTTTCATTAAGTAAAAATTAATGAAAGAAAAACAAGTCTCTCTCCAACTCTGTGTGCTTTTCTCTTACACACACACTTATATTGATAATAATTAAACAAGCTGCTATTTCCACCACTGTGCAAAGGGTGAATAACACCCACACACACATACAGACCACTGCACAAACACTCACACACAGACACACTGTAAACTACTAGTGTATTTCATTCACCTCTTGCACAGAGGCTTAGAATAGTAGTTTGTTTACATATGATCCCATTAGAAGGATTTCACGCTTCAGCAGATTACACAGGTGATTTGGGTGTTGTGTAATGTGGTCCTCTATGTCTAAAATACAGTTAGATGACTCAAAAACATGAATATACACTTCTGTTCAAAAGTTTGGGGTCAGTAAGATTTTTTTAATGTTTTTGAAAGAAGTCGCTCATGCTCAACAAGGCTGCATTTATTTGATAAAAGATGCACGGGTTACAAATGTAACCTAGGTTCCCTAAGAAGGGGAACAACATGCTGTGTCTGGTAAGACACTATGGGAAACGCCTCAGAATGACTGGTGTCTGAAGCATGTGTCTAAACAAGACAATTTTATTGGCTGGCGACAGCCTATGACGCCACTACCAGTGCGACCGTGAGTATAAAAGGGTGTCTGAGGAACACATCATACTTCGTCTGAAAGAGACGTGGCAGGCACCCCGAAAGCATGGCAATGAGACACAGTGTGTCGTTCCCCTTCTCAGGAAAATTAGGTTTCATTTGTAACCTGAGACATTTTCTTTCGAATATAACTCGCACTGTGTCTGGCAAGATGCTATGGGGAACAAATACCCACTCCACCACGCTGAGGGTAATCCATGCCCTTTTGGCGGTGATTAAGCACTAAAAAAGCTGATTCTCCTGACCTTAGTGTCAGAACCAGATTCCCCAAAGGTACGCACCAGCAAGCTGTCAGTGCCTATGTTTACATGCACACCTTTTGTGTCAATCAGAGTGAATTCATTCTGATTGATGAATCCGAATGTAGTGCTTACATGAATGCTAAATAAATTGTTTGGGTTGATGTGCGCATGCACACTCGCAGTCCTTTCCAGTTTCAGTTTTCAATCCTATCAAGTGTTTACATGTTCTTTACATGTTCTCTCAATTGGATTAGAAAAGGAATAAACCACCCCTTTCAGGCCGATCCAAATTTCATTCAGATCGAGCTCAGTCGAATCGATCAAGCTGTTTGAGGGTAATCCAATTACTAATGGATTATTTGGTTGCATGTAAACGTAGCAAGTAACATTATTCCCTTCGGCCACTGCCCAAACTACATACCCTGTTCTAGGAAAGTCCTCACAGGGCCAAGCGGTAGGGCTCCAGGGATCACCAGGGAGGCTGACCCCTGCCATTCTAGCCTGGTCAACCTACAACCTGTCGGCCTACGCAGAATCTCTAGATTCAGCACTTTCACAAAGGCCTCCAATGAGAGGGTATTGCAACAGGCAGTAACCACTTCACACCAGATTCCAGAGATGAAAGTCCTAGAAAACAGAGACTCAGCATATCGACCCTCCAAGCGAGGGGAGTAACTCTGCTCAGCCCGAAAAGGGGTTCTTCAGGACTTGTAGAGCACTAAAGTAGCTTTGGGGGAGCAGAGTACTCTACATGATGACCCTCTAGAATTAGAGGAGTACTGACCGGCTCACTGACTGTATGCTTATCAAGGAGGCCCACTGAAAGCAAGGCACTCTGCATACTGACCCTCTAAACGAGGGGAGTACCAAACTTAGCCTACAGATTTATCTCAAGGAGGCTCACAGAGAGCCTAGCAACTTGATACTGCTGATTGTACTGAGTCCTAGGGAACAAAGAACTCTGCATAATGACCCTCTAAGTGGGCGGAGTACTAGCTAACACATTAGACTTGACTTATCAAGGAGGCTTGCCTTACAACCAAGCTCAACCTAAGAGAGGTCAGCTGGAAAAAGAGGGCTCTGATGGGCGGAGACATCAACAGGATGACTCTCTAGAACAAGGAGGCCTAACTTCGTACTATACTAGGGACAGCCTTACCAAGGGGGCTCTTAGAGAATTATGCCACTGGACATTGTTATCCAGGCGGAGCTCAGGGATTACAAACCTCTGCAGGAAGGCTCTCTAAATGAGAGGAGGTAATACTAACTCACACTAAGGCTGCTTACAGGCTCACAGGGCTCACAGGGAAGAGGCTCACAGGGAGCCATGTCAGTCGATATCGCCAATATTAGGAGAACAGGCCTTCAGCAAAGACAGCCAGGCCATTTGAATTCACTATCCCAGTGGTTAGCTCAAGGGAGTGGAGGCTTCAACCGAATGACTCTCAATAGACGAGTGAAAGCCTAACAACACTCTGTCTAAAAGCAGCCAATGCTAGTTTAAGAAAGAGCTCTAGATAGTGGAGGCCTCAACTGGATAATTCTCCTGACGTCCTATCAGGGGGCTTACTAAAAGCCGTTCCACTTGTAACATGATCTAGCAGTAGCGCTGAAAAGTGAAAAAAAAAAACTCATAGAATGACTCTCCAGAGTGAGAGGAGGTCTAATCTCTCAATATCCTAAAAACACTTTTATCAAGGAGGCTCACAGAAAGCCTTGCTACTCTAAACCGCTAACCTGGAGGGCTCAGAGGAGACAACCTCAGCAGGGTCGATCCACAGTCATGGAGGCTTATAAAAAGGATCTCTAATGAGCGGGGGCCTCACCAAGACAATTCTCTAAAATGAGAAGAGGACTAGTTAATTTCAGTGCCTAATCATGCGGAGCACTAGAGAGCAGAGGTCTCAGCTGGAAGCTCTCAACAAAACGAGAGGAGACCTAGCAACACTCTTTGTCAAGGAGGTTCACTTAGAGCCAGTCCACCTGACATTTACGGTAACAGTCCATAACAATAAAAATATAGGTTTGTCAAGAAGGCTCGATGAGAGCCATACAACTCGACTAGTTTAATAAAATAAAAACAAATTAGTCAAAGAGACTCATAAAGCCAACAGCTTGACACAGAGCCGAAAGGATGAGGGCAGATGTTATTCCCCTCAAAGGAGGGTAGGAATTATTTACCCTCATCAACTCTAGAGCGCTGTGAGCATCTCGATTAAATCACTCGATTAAATCACTTCCCTCAGATCGTGTTTCTTCTTCATACCTCACGCCTCCTCTGCTCCTCATTGGAGGAGGGGTGCGAGGGGCGACACTAGCCCTCTGGCCCAGTCTTTGGTCATGAGCCCAAGACGAGCCAGGTCCCCCTGGCATTTTGGGAGCGGACCCGAGCCGGGGCGGTATGACTGTTTTAAAGGCTACCGTCCGCGCCTTCGCCTCCTCAATGGATGTGCCGAATAGTTCAGAAGGCAAAACCGGTGCATCAAGGTGAAAGACCTTCTCTTTCTCCCTAATGCTAGCCAGGTTCACCCACAGATGTATCTCTGTGGCCACCATTGCCGCCATCAATCTGCCTATCACGGGAGCACTCTGTTTAGTGGACTGGAGAGCAAGATTTGTGGTGCGGGGCAGCTCACCCACCTCATCAGGGGAAAGACCCCGACACTGGTTTAGGTCCCTCAGCTGATTGGCTTAGTACGCTTGCAGCACCGCCATAGTGTGCACAGCCTGACCTGCTGCCGTGTATGCCCTGCCATTTAAGTGAGATGTCATTCTAAGATGGCAGGGTCAGACCCTTCAGTGTTGATGTTTCCCCGTTTGAGAGATAGCTCATGAGCATCTCTTCAATAGGAGGCATCTATATGTATCCGCGCTCACGCATCCCCTTGGCATTCGCATAGTTAGAATGGATGAAATTAATGGATGTGGGCTGAATACGGCTTCTTCCATGCTCTCTTGATCTCCATATGGTCCTTGAAATGGCTCATTATGTCCAGATAGAAATCGCTCTGTCTAATCTGCCTTGAGGAACTCCCTCCTTCTCGCGTTCCATAACCTCCAACAACTCCTCATATAAGGGGTAGGCAGGCTGAGAAGGCTCCGTTATTTCTACCTCTTCGCCTTCATTAGCCATTTCCTGCTCATCCGGCTTGAAGCTAGCAGAGCACTGCCCACTGGATCAGAGGATGTAAGAGATTATACATCCTTCTCCGGCAGATTACTCTCGTCAGCCACAGAGGAGCGTGAAAGGGCCATACTCCTTTCAAACTCCTCAGCAAGCTCCACCTGAGATGGGGTACAGGTGTGTGTCTTGGTTCCCTTGAAAGGAGGGTCAAATGAAAGTGGAGCTTTTTCATAGGAAACGCTCGCAGTGCACGCATACAGCCCCCTTAAGGACTGAGCGTGAGTGCTCTAGCCAAAACAAACACAAAGGTCTTGTGTATCATCTGGTGTCAGATAACAAGGACGCAGATCAACATTTTTCCTGAATGCTTTGCAACTGCCAATTTCCAAAGTGATGCAAACACTTACCAACATGGTTTCAAAACAAATGGCTCCTTAGGATTAAGAAGAGAATGACGTTTTCCTCAGGTGTCCTTTTATCCCTTACCAACGGTCGCACTGGTAGTAGTGACGTCATAGGTGGTTGCCGGCCAATACAATTGTCGCGTTTAGACACGTGCTTTCAGACACAAGTCACGCTGAGGTATTCCCCATTCGTCTTGCCAGACACAGTGTGAAATATTCTGATTATTTAAGCTAAATAAAGCTTTGTAAATTTCCTACCGTTAATATATAAATAAAATATTTTTGTGCGTGGATGCAGCAAAATCACGAACATAAATGGTCAACTTTAAAGGTGATTTTCTCAATGTTTCGATTTTTTTGCACCCCTCAGATTCCAGATTTTAAAATAGTTGTATCTCGGCCAAATGTTGTCCAATCCTAACAAACCATACATCAATGGAAAGCTTATTTCTTTCAGATGTATAAATCTCAATTTAAGAAATTGACCCTTGTGACTGGTTTTGTGGTCCAGGGTCGCATATATTTTTAAATTTATTCCTGTGATGCAAAGCTGAATTTTTAGTATATACTGTAAGTACTGATGCATTTATCATTAACACAATTCTACTTTTTAATTGAACGACTTAAATAAAATGGGTTATAACTTTACCATATTGTATTGATACATTTTTTATTAAGGACATTAGAATAATTTAATGAAAAAAAAAAAAAAAAAGAAATGTCAAAATTGGTATGAATATATGTTATGTTGTCGATATTGAGTTTATATGTGCTCTTGTGTACAATTTAGATATACAAAAGGAGAGTTGGACATTGCTTACATCACCACACGTATTATAGGTGAGTAATGAACAATTATGTGATAGTGAATGTTGACCATGTTCGTGTACCATGGTGTTTGCATTTACTCCAAGGTATTTTTGTTCCTTTTTTAACTGTGGACATACAGTACGTGTCCTTGGTTTTGACTGTTATTATATAAGCAGTCAGTCAGTTTAATGTATTTGCTTATTTCTCACTCACATGACTTTGGCATATGGACAGAAGGGATGTCCGGAGGGGATATTTGTTTTTAATGACCATAAAACTTGGATTATTAAACCATAAAATTTAAAGAAATTAATTTATATATTTTTTTATATTTTAAGAATGAAACAATAACAAAACGCTAAACAAGGTTAAGGTATTTAAATGATACAATGGCAGAAAAAATGCAAAATACAGCTACAGGTTTTATTTTACTATGCAAAAGAATGCATAGAAAAACAAATAGCTCACACAGAAAAAAAAAAAAGCATAAATCATACAACATAATCATCAGTTATTAATATTTCGTTGGTTCTCTCGTGTTTTTGCATGTGTTAATTTCTTTTTATGATAGCCTGGCCAAAAATTCTGTCCACACAATTTGGAATGTTTCATTACATTATCACAAATTAAACAATTGACTCCAAGTTCAACTATGAAATGTGCTATTAAAAAATCTTTAACAAATGTTTATTATTATTTGAATAACGGGTGAAGATGTCAATTTCCTAGGCTGGACATCATTTTTGGCCACTATTGTAAGAGAGTTTTAAAAGCATATCCGGTTTAAAAGCATATAAAAGTGTAGTACTGTATATCAGATGCTAATATTATCATGTTTGTGTTTCAGCTATATGCACTAAATGCAATGTTTGTATTGGCCACACTAAACTTACTGGAAAGAAGTGTTATAATCCTTTCCTAATTGTCCTTTTACTCTGTCAGTGATGTCATATCCTGCTGAGACGGTGGAGATGGGCTACAGGAACCACACAGAGGATATCCGTTCCTTTCTGGACTCACGGCATGCCGACCACTACACTGTTTTCAACCTGTCACAGAGGAACTACCGAGGGGCCAAGTTTTCCAACAGAGTGAGTGCAATCAGCTGCATTTCCTGAATTACATACTTTCATTTTACATTCCAGATCACTTTACAAATTAAAGTGCCTGTGGGCTAAGTAGTAAGTAGTAAGTACTTGGAAAGATTTCAATCTTGTCTTTGTTGCAGAAGAAGTCATAACTTCTTATTAAAATTTGTACGAAATTATGTGCTGATGAGGGAAATTTCAGACAAAATTAAATTGCAACATACAAAGACTGAAAATCACTTTACCTTTGTTAAACATTCCATCTGGATTTCATTTAGAAATAAATTTGCTTTTAGGTCTGAGAAAGTTTCTCTATCATTGCACGCTGAACTGTCAAAATGTGATCACAAACAACATCTGGGGCTTTCACCCTAAAAGTATATAAATTTTTTAACATGCATATTTCCTTCAAAATATGTGATACTGCACCACATTTAATAGTACAAGAAACTAGGAAAATATGTTCAATGCAAATGTCTGTGCCAATAAAAGAGAACACTGAAAAAAATATTATTTTCCTATGTCCATTAAAAAATTTAAAACATCCATAAAACTAGATATATTAAACATAGGCAAAATTAAATAAGATGTTAGTAGCTGTTGAACGACCTGAGATTTTTTGAAGTCGATAGTTATGTGATTAAAATCGAGTCGAAGTTGACTAATCACTGATATTGTCATTAATAAAAACACAAGAGATGGGAATGCTTTGCAGTATGCCACAATTTGCAATTTATATGTAAAATAAAAATACACAGATGCTGACAGACAGCTCATAACATGTTGCAACTTGAAGGTAACAATGCAACAATAATACTAACTTCCAAAAATGATTGATGCATATGTCAGTATAACGTCTCGGGTTAAGACTGTAACCCTTGGTCCCTGAGAGGGGATCGAGATTCTGCGTCATAGGATTGGCGCTTTGGGAACGCCTCTGCATGATTGCGTCTGAAGCACGTGTAGGGGTGGGCGATATCTCGATATTTAAAATATATCGAGATATTTTTTAAACACGATATGGATTTTGACATATCGTATATATCGATATATTGTTTATATTTAATTCTGATTTTGCCACTTTGCCTTCTCTGCGCTGTGCTCGCCCCCGCATCCTTGCTTTTGTTCCCCCTCCCCTCGCGTGTTGTCTCATTCAACATGGCGGCGCCTGCAACTAGCCCGGAGGCTACAGAACTCGTCTAAAAAAATCGTCTTAAATGCTGTCTTACATGCACTTCTTGAGGCACACACGCACACTAGCAAACACACACAAGGTCTCTCGCTCTCTGTCCCTCTCTGCCGTGCGCACGCTACACGGTGCTGTCTCCCTCTCTGCCGTGCGCACGCTACACGGTTTGAACATTCACACAGCCTTTCGAAAACCGGGACATTCTGTGTCCCGGGAGAGTGGATAAATTTCCCGGGACAGGTTATTAAAAAGAATGACAATCCCGGTCAAACGGGACAGGTGGCAACCCTGGCCATTGGCGTCGTTGAATTATTATTTTTGTATACAGGGACTTTTTTTTTTTAAATGTCGCAGAAGCACTTTGGACTACATGGACTGCCTACCTCTTTGCACTCCAATAAAAAAAAGACTGTGGTATTTGGCATATTTGTTTTTTGCAGTAGTTTTTGTTGGGTTATTTTTCCTGTAAAGATATCGAGATATATATCGTATATCGAGATATAGCTAAATATATCGAGATATATTTTTTGCTCCATATCGCCCAGCCCTAAGCACGTGTGTGAAGTCAATCCAAACGGAGCGTCACGGGTGGTTGATGTCATGACCAGGAAGCATAAAAGCACATCCGGAATAGCCAACGTTAGCTTCAAAGTAGCCGAACCAAGTCGATCACAGGGATGCAGGAAGTATGGCAGAGCGACGCAGCATCTAGTTCCTCTCTCAAAGAACAAGGGTTATGCTCGTGACCGGAGACATTCCCTTTCGAGGGAACTCGCACTGCGTCATAGTATTGACACTTTGGGAACAATAATACCCAAACCGCTATGCTTACAAGTGCCTGTCTGTGTGAAAACTGCAACCACAACTAAGCCAGGAGCACCTGCAAACCACAGTCCAAGTCCAAATCGTAAAACCTTACGAATGTGAGGGGAGAGGACCAGCCTGCCGCATCACATACATCTTACAGGGACACCCCCGTCAATAAGGCCTTAGAGGCCGCCATACTTCTGGTTGAATGAACTCTGACAGCCAAAGGTGAAGGATGTCCTGAGACCCCATAAGCAAGAGAGATAGCCTGGACTATCCATTTAAGTCCTTTCTTAGGTGATCTAAAGCAAACAAACATCAGATTAGTTTTCATCCATAGGGAAGCTCTGTGGACATAAGCATCCAGTGCTCTCACTGGGAACACAATGTTCAGCTTCTCATAGTCCTGATCTCTTAAAGGAGGAGAGCAAAAGGCTTATAAGATTATAGGCCGCGGCACATTGGTAGGCACCTCAGGGACATAGCCCGGTCTAGGGTATAAGAATGCCTTAACCATCCCCGGTGAAAACTCAAGGCAAAGGGCCTGTAGGTCTCATACTGTTTTAAGAGACATGATGCCTTGAAGGAACACTGTTTTCAGAGTCAGAAACTTTTCCGGAACAGTCTCAATAAGCTCGAAGGGAGCTGTGGACAGACCTTCTAGTACAATGGCCAGGTCCCAGGATGGTACTCTAGTGTGGCTTGCAAGGAGGAAACGTGTCACCAATGGGTTTCTCCCCAGGGATACACCAACCAAAGGGACATGGTAGGCAGGTATGGCTGCCACGTACACCTTTAGTGTGGAAGGGGATAACCCTGCTGAAAGACGATCCTGCAGGAACTCCTGCTCTGTACCAACTGGGCAGTTAACTGGGTTTCACTGTCGAATTCCGCACCATGAAGTGAAAACCCTCCACTTCAATGCATACAGTTTCCTTGTGGTGGGAGCTCTGGACCTGAGGAGACCTGAGACTAGGAGTTGGGCCCCCTCAGAGGCCAAACCCACAGCTTCCATAACTCGGGGCGGGGGTGAAGGATTATGCCCCCTGCCTGTTACAAAAGGTCCCTCCTGACCGGAATTCTCAGGTTGGCCAGAATGGCTCTACTAGTAGTAGACTCATCCCGTCCTGGCGGACTCTCTCCAGAACTCAGAAAGAAAGAGTAAAATAATGCGCAATACGCTCAATCCCATGTCGAAATTCAAGCTCTGTAACACCAACAATATTCATGCGGAGCAAATGAAACGAGTGAGTGAGGGGAGGCAGGTTTGTGTCAACTCGCTGTGGGAGAGATGAGAGAGCGATAAAGCGCAGCCGGTATTGTGTATCTATTATGCGGAAAATTAGTATTGGAAAGCGTTTCAGATATTTCAGTATCGATATGCATCTAAAAACGTATATTTTTGACAACACTACTTTTTAAAAGACTACTATTGAAAAATGTAAACTCAACCCACCAAAGTGGCTAGTATGAGTGACTGCGTTACACACCACTGCTGAATAGGGCTGGGAATCGCTGGCTACTTCACGATACGATACAATATGCGATACATTGTTCACGATACCGATAAAATCACGATATGGCGATACTGCGATAATCTATATATTATCAGTAATAACTCACAATATATCATGTTTTAAGAAATAAATAAATAAATTTAATTAGGAAAATTAATCTCCATTTATTTTTTTGGATGAAACACAATAACAAAAACAACTTGTGTCTTATCAGTTGCAACAAAACAGTCACAGACACTATTTTAGTGTAACATTGCTGAAATCAGTAGTAATAAAAATGTTTACGCCGGGGTGTGTCGGCTTCGAGCCAGCACCAACCACGGCTTTCTCACAGAGCTCCGGGTGATGCCGCGTGAGGTGTCTGTGCATGTGGTCGTGTTTCCCGTAGGCATGTGCCGGTATCAAATTTTCATGCTGCGGTTAATTGATTGAGCTTTTATCACGGTATACGGTATTATCACGGTATTTTAATTGCTCAAGAGAAACAGATGGATTGTGGGTATCTAAAAAAACAACAACTTGCATCACAATGTGTAATTGTGATTTTCAAAACATATAACAGAATTTTATTAAGTTTAGTGACAACATGTTACAATGACTGGTAGGCTGTTTTGTATTATTCAATTCAATTCTTGGATTTGATTTCAATCTTAATTCAATATTGACTCATTTGGATAAATATTAGGTAGGCTACAGTCTCAAGAAAAAAAAATATCTCACATAATGCTGTAAACATACAGAGAGAAATTAAATATAATGGGGTTTTCATTATAATAACAATTATGTAATGACAAGTAAACATATAATAAATATGTAATATAGTGCACATATTTAGCAAAATACTCCTCGCTATTTTTTTCTAGTCAACTAATGTGCTGGTCATTAAATGGCTTTCCTGAGGTAAATGTAACGTTCTGTGACATAACTGTTCTCCTGCAGTTTTATTGACCTCTTTCCGTGTTTGGTAAACACTGATTGATCGATATTATGTATGAGGCACATACATTTCGGTAAGTTGTACTGTATCTTTAAATAAAAAGTAACAGATGATCGGTTTACTTGAACTGAGGCGCAGCGATCTGTCACAATGGACAGAACCTAAGAGCTGATTTTTATTTATTTTTTTCATATCAAAAGTAACCTGCGCTTTCTAGTCTGTCGGTGTCAGTGTCCTCTTTGCTCCGCGATTTTTCTCTGTGTCAGAGCGTGTGAAAAGTGTCAATTGCGTAAAGCGCCTTTCAGACAGGTCGCGGAATGCGCGGCGCTGGCCGCTGGGTTCAACGTTGCCCTTCAGATACAACGCGATTTGCTATTTTGCAAATAAAAAGTTTAACTATTTTGAACTTTGACCCCGGCGTGCTTTGGTCGGCGCAGCAACAAAACGTCCCCCCGCATATTCCGTGTCCTGTCTGAAAGCTGAATGCGTGAGAGTTGGCAGCCCTGCGGGGGATAAATCGTCGGCAGCGATCCTCCTTCCGCCATGCTTCTACTCCATGTGAGGATTGTTTACATTAGACTAGAGTGCGCACTGCCGCCGCATGCACACAGTGCTTATACATGTGGGGATTGTTTACATCAGAGTGCGCACGTGCGCCTACTGCGCGCATAACATACACAGCACGGCAGAGAGGGAGAGAGCGAGAGACTTTGCGTGTGTGCCTCATGAAAGGTAGTCAAATCCAGTCAACTCGGATAATGAATAGAGCGTTTTATAACGGCTTTTAAGATCGATAGTTGGCAAGAGCGCATCGAGAATCGATCGCGGGAGTAAATATCGTGAGATATCGCCATATCGATATTTTGGCGCACCCCTACTGCTGAAATCCAAATGCATTTGGCGAGTCGGCAGGTGTTAATGTCAAGCCCTGTGTGGAAGTATGCATCCTTTAGACTGCCTCAAAGTCAACATTTTGAATTGTGAATTTGAATTTTAACTTCCTGTTCCATTACCAGAGCCTGCTCTGGGTCTACCAATGTGAATAGAACTCTGTTAAATGGAGGCGGTCGAGACCCAAACTGGATTCTGTGGCCTCTTTCTACAGTCTGCAGGACCCAATGAAACATGTTTGGCCAAAGCTTCCATGCTACCAAATCGTCTACTACTACCACTGGCCTCTGGTGGGATTTGAGTAGCCACATTGGTGCTCTGAAGCGAATCAGCAGGGAACGACCAACCTGACTGCTCTAATATCCTCTTCGGAGGATGCAAGCGGGCTGCCCTCAGAAGTCTGATCTGACACTGCCGTCAGGACTTCCTCTTCACCGAAACCTTATTTGCAAGAAGGACGGTCCTTCGATCTGTCTTCTGCTTAGGCGGCTTCGGCTTCGGCTCTTACTGCTACGCCCTGTTTGAGGAGCTTGACGGTTGGGGCTGCTCCCGCCCACCATTGACATAGTGTGCAGATATGCACCGGCCTGACCTTCTGCCATATACGCTTTACCCACCAAAGTCCTTCAGGGATGATGCCATGATAGGGGACAGAAATCTTATGAGCGTCTGTTCCACCTTGGGCATCGCCCAATACCCGTACTCTTTCAATTTATGTGGACCTGAGGGCTGAAGAGATGGGACAAATACAGTTTATTCCACAACCTCAAAGCTTCTTTATAGAGGTTGGGAAAGAAAGGAAGGCCCCTGGGTAGAGGTAACGATTTTGGGGACAGAAAATGCTCGTCCAGCTTGCTTCTAGGTCGTGACATCACCAGCCCGTGACGTTCCGTTTCACCATTGGACTGATTCCACACACATGCTTAGGACGCAATCACGCAGAGGTTTCCCAAAGCGTCAATACTATGACTCACCAGGAGTTCCCTTGAAAGGGGACGAGCCAAGCCAGTGAAAAAATTGTAGCTGGAATAGCAAAGCAGCTTTTGCAAAGCTTGGACAAACTGGGAAATTTGTCCTGGTTGCGGACCCACCACAACATGGTTTTCTTCATGGTGGGAATATGTGGTGTTAATAAATATTTACATATTTCTTAGGCTGAGAGAGCGCGCTATTCAAATGCAAATAATCTGAGACAAGATGCAAACGTGTCAACGCCCACATCAACTCGATAAAACACATCAAGTTTAATCAGACTCATGTACTTTACAACGCTGTGAGGAATAATAATGTGCCGGTTTAGTTTCACTTCGAGGAGCAATAGATCCAGCTGAGGTGGAATAGTAAGTTCTTTATTCTTAAGTGCTTTGTCCTAATCGTGATATGCAATAGTGTCTGTAAACCGCAAAAAGACTGTTTAAATATGAATCACGTGTCTTTGTGTGAATGAATGAACTGCACATATGCGTGCTGTTGTTTACTACAGAACATCTTGCATCTGTGCCGTATAAGCAACATATTAAACTGCAAATTAACATTTATATGCTAATATATCATAAAAACGATGTTACAGACAAAATATGAATGTTTAGACAAGATTTCGTTGATTAGTTTTGGATAGATTATAAAGTTTTTACTGTAAAAAATACTGTTTTTACTGTTTTTATCCCATTCCATCACAGATTGATTTTATTTGTATTAAAGCTCAGAACATGATTTAAAGCAGAATTCAATAGTGGGAAGTGGGCCAACAATTTTTTTTTTTTTTGTCATTAAAAAGCATGCTCTCTGTTAAATGTCCTGGGAAATGTCAAAAATGGACATATGAACATCCCTATTAAATCAGTCATGTAAAATGTTTATACAGAGTCCCAAATGTCTCATTAAACAGAGAGGAAGCTACATGATGATTCTGTTTATCACCCATAGCACTGATTGTTGTTAAAAGTAAATCATCATCATAATGGCCACTTTAATAATATAATGCTACGAGTTAAGGAATGCAATTCCGGTTTTGTGTCAATAAAGGGGTGCTTGAGCTTTATTGATGGGGCTCTGGGGAACATAAAAGATTTGGGAAACACTGGTGTAGTGCGAGTTACTTATTCTATGAGACTCATTTCTGTCTAGAAATGATACTAGTGGCTGGAGTGACTCGTATGGCCTTCTTTCATTAAATATTAAACAGTGCTTTTCCTATGTAATTTAATAACTCCTAAGATAAACTGCATGACTCAACTATTTCTAGCTCATGACTTATTTGCTGTTAGAGTTATAATTATACACTCACCGGCCACTTTATTAGGTACCCCATGCTAGTAACGGGTTGGACCCCCTTTTGCCTTCAGAACTGCCTCAATTCTTCGTGGCATAGATTCAACAAGGTGCTGGAAGCATTCCTCAGGGAGTTTGGTCCATATTGACATGATGGCATCACACAGTTGCCGCAGATTTGTCGGCTGCACATCCATGATGCGAATCTCCCGTTCCACCACATCCCAAAGATGCTCTATTGGGTTGAGATCTGGTGACTGTGGAGGCCATTTTAGTACAGTGAACTCATTGTCATGTTCAAGAAACCAATTTGAAATGATCAGAGCTTTGTGACATGGTGGAAGTAGCCATCAGAGGATGGGTACATGGTGGCCATAAAGGGATGGACATGGTCAGAAACAATGCTCAGGTAGGCCGTGGCATTTAAACGATGCCCAATTGGCACTAAGGGGCCTAAAGTGGGCCAGGAAAACATCCCCCACACCATTACACCACCACCACCAGCCTGCACAGTGGTAACAAGGCATGATGGTTCCATGTTCTCATTCTGTTTACGCCAAATTCTGACTCTAACATCTGAATGTCTCAACAGAAATCGAGACTCATCAGACCAGGCAACATTTTTCCAGTCTTCAACTGTTCAATTTTGGTGAGCTCTTGCAAATTGTAGCCTCTTTTTCCTATTTGTAGTGGAGATGAGTGGTACCCGGTGGAGTCTTCTGCTGTTGTAGCCCATCCGCCTCAAGGTTGTGCGTGTTGTGGCTTCACAAATGCTTTGCTGCATACCTCGGTTGTAACGAGTGGTTATTTCAGTCACTGTTGCCCTTCTATCAGCTCGAACCAGTCTGGCCATTCTCCTCTGACCTCTGGCATCAACAAGGCATTTCCGCCCACAGAACTGCCGCTCACTGGATGTTTTTTCTTTTTCGGACCATTCTCTGTAAACCCTAGAGATGGTTGTGTGTGAAAATCCCAGTAGATTAGCAGTTTCTGAAATACTCAGACCAGCCCTTCTGGCACCAACAATCATGCCACGTTCAAAGTCACTCAAATCAACTTTCTTCCCCATACTGATGCTCGGTTTGAACTGCAGGAGATTGTCTTGACCATGTCTACATGCCTAAATGCACTGAGTTGCCGCCATGTGATTGGCTGCTTAGAAATTAAGTGTTAACGAGCAGTTGGACAGGTGTACCTAATAAAGTGGCCGGTGAGTGTATATATATCATTTTGGGATCACTTGTTACATTCTTTTGATAAAAAAATGTTCGAAATGACAAAAGTGCTGCAACATTGATGTATTATTTATATTGAAGGTTTGGCTTAAATATAAATAATATATGTGATATATGATGATTCTGACGTTTCCTTCTTACTCAAATTCCTTGTTGTTGTAAGAATTGTTTTCTTGTATGTCTTTTTTAAAATATGTTATTTTATTTTATCCATGATTATCCAAATCTTTATTCATTTGGATATTGTACTCTCTTTTTCATCTTCTTCTCTCTAACTTCTTCCTCTCATAATTGTTCTTCTCTTTTATCTGTAGGTTTCTGAATGCAATTGGTCTTCCAGGCAGGCCCCTAGTCTTCACAACTTATTTGCCGTTTGTAAGAATATGTACAACTGGCTCAAGCAAAACCCCAAGAATGTGTGTGTGATTACCTGTTCGGTAAGGAGGTCTTTTGAACATCATTCATCATTATCAGCTATCTTTAATGAAAAGTAGGACAGTATGTGAAATTGGCCTTTTTTAATGGAACTGTATGGTACAAAATATGCATGATTTGAATAAAAAATTATGCCACAAATAGAAAGCCTGAAAGATTTTAAAGATTCACAGTTAGATTGATTGATTGATAAATCAATAAATAAAGTTAAGCGAAAAATAAAGTGAAGATGATGAACAAACGAGAAGGAAGAACAAAAAATGAACATACAGTACACAAGAGTATATACAAGCAGCAGCACACACACTCAAAACTAATGTTACTCACTTATGGAGCAGAAACAACGCAACCTCTGTGTCAGATTTCAGGTCTTCCCACTTAGGTCTCTCCAGCACTGGAAAGCTTTTGGAATGATAACACGGGTCCTAAATCTCTTGTCTGATCATAACCCTTCTTTTTCCAGCTATATTCCTCAGTCTTTTCTCTTTTGTAATGGCTCTCACCCATCTCTCTTTCTACAGTCTTTCTTCAAATCTCCCTCTTGCTCACTCTCTTTCCTCCCCCATCATGAGTGTATACCCAACCCCCCCACTGCTGATTGGCTACAAGTTTGTTGTGGTGCTCAGTCCGATCCACTTTCAACAGTGTTTCCCTTACTGCACCTTTAATATATAATGTAATTGTAACATTCAACCAGGGAAAGAGTTAAGAATCTAATTCCAGCTTTATTCACGCAAAAGAAAATCCAAGACAGGTCATAAAAAACAGCTTTGCATACACAAAATCGTACAGTGAAGACTAAAACACTGGGCTATAAGTATAATAGAAAAGGAGGAACTTAACAAGAAACATCTGTATTATCCAAGGCTGGCCTAATGCATGTTTGCTCTTTTTAGGATGGCAGAGCTTCTTCGGGCGTGCTGGTCTGTGCCATGTTCTGTTTCTGCCACCTTTTTGCCAACCCGGTGCCAGCCATGCATCTTCTCAGCGCCAAGAGGCCTGGATCAGGCCTGTGGCCCTCCCATAGGAGGTACGACCAATCAGATTGCAGCTCTCTGATAGAAACTACTGAATAGTATAAATACTCAACAATAATTTTACAGTAGATGATGAACTAATAATATTTATGGCATACATTACCTTTGTCTTGAAATGTCAATTTTTCTGCATGTTAGTTGTATACAGAGAGAATGAAATGTTTCACCAAAACATTAGTCCTAGATTAAACAAGGTATGACAGACTTATATGTGTGTATGTGTGTATTTATTCAGGTACATAGGTTATGTATGCAGTTTAGTCTCAGAGAAGCCCACCGTACCCCACTCCAAACCGTTAGTCATTAAAGCCGTCACAATGAGTCCTGTTCCTTGCTTCAACAAACAGCGCAGTGGCTGTCGGCCATTTTGTGATGTACTTATTGGTGAGACCAAGATCTTTTCTACAGCTCAGGAGTATGAGAGAATGAGGTAAGCATGTTCATACAGATTCTCTGTTAATGGCTCATTGAACATAGCTGAAATTACTTGTAATGAGTAGTAATATATTGTCCTATCAAATATTTGAGTCTTATTGTCACTTATCACAAAGTCGTTTCAGATATGGTATGCAATATGTCAAGAGAACAGGGTTGATCAAAATCCACAATTTTAGAATTCAAAAACACAAATTCAAGAGTGTGAATTTAAATGGAATTGAACACCCCAAAGGAAGTTGAATTGGAGATTGAATTAGAATGACAGGAAAAATAATTTACTGAATTGAAATTTAAAGAAATGCCCATATGTTGCTTGTATGATGAACAATGTTTATGAAAAATAAAATGTATTATTAAAAAATACACTAACAACAGTTAGATGAATGTATGTAATCCAATTTTAATTGTACTTACTGAAAATCTATTTTGAATTACTATTTTTGTATCCTGTTTGCAACCTCAAATTCTAAAATGGAATTTTATTTATTTTATTTTAAAGGGCATTTCTGAATTGCGTACGAGAGCATTTATGTAGCACTTAAAAAATAATGATATTGTTTGTGTAATGCTGAAGTATAGCTTCATGTATGCTGCTCTCAGGGAACACAGGATTCAAGAGGGCAAAGTGGTCTTTCCTGTGGGAGTGAGTGGCCAAGGAGACGTGGTGATTTCAGTTTTTCACATGCGTTCCCATGCACTTCAGGCCAAGGTATGAGACCAATAACTAACTGTTACCCATTTTAAATCTAAAGCTGCAGCAGAGAAAAAAAACTACAGAATGTTAGGGCTGGGCGGTATGACGGTATATATCGTTACCGCGGTAGAAAATGTCAACCGTAACAGATTTTTTTTATTCCGTGTATACCGCGACATGTAAATAAGTGGGCGTGGTTAACAACACACGTGCAGCGTGCGTGCGAATTACGTTTTCTAAAGGGTTGTTGTTAACGTGATATTTTCGGGGGGAAATGCGCTGCAGTCACCTAGTCTAGGTGACCTAGAGCAGTACAGCTACAGTTTAGAGGAGTGCAGGTTCGCAACGGGGAAAGCATGAAGCTTACTTGACAACATATCAATATCGTAACGAATAGAAATAACCTTAAATAATGTATAGTTATCCGCATCTTTCCGTCTCTTATGTATAGTTACTTTTTAAACACGAAAATCGCATTCAGCATGACAAGCAAGCGGTTGCCGTGGTAATGAACAACCTGCTTGTTAAAGCGAATGTATAATCCTGTATCTGAGACAAAATTACTAAATATGCAGCGCGAGTTATATATTTCTTTTAACTCCAAACAATTGGCTACTGAACTAGCTGATAAAATCTTCCTTTGATTCGATACGTGATTACAACTTGACACTCAAATTAACCGATCGCATTTTACTGATGCAAAAGACGCACGCGTGCACGCACTGTAAACTATGGTAAAAAAAAATGACCCTGTTACAAGGTGTGTATAATTTAGTCAACACTAACAGTAGCTGCTGTTCGGTTCATACTGCTCCTTATAGCTGCGAGGACTTAAACTTCTCTTGATCAAAGCTCCAGGTGACAGGTTGCCAGATATCACAAAAAGCTAAACAAGCCCCTTAAAAAGACATGGCAAAAATGTACCGGGGAACACATTAAACATAACTAGTATTACTAATATCCTACAAAATTAAAAGGAAGTAACTCATTTATTATGAATAGAATAGTTCAATATAAAATATTCAGATATTATAAACTGATTGATGAAGTAAAGCAATAACATGAGATTGAAAAATTATTCAGCAACACTTTATTTAAAGTTTAATTGCACCTATGAGTTGTATTTAATATCAATCAGTTGAGGGAAGTTCATCTAAAAGTTGATGAGTGTGTTTTGTTTACTATATTTAGCTATCAAAATAGTTTACCAAAGAAATAATTGACCAAATAAAAGAAAAAGAAAAATCAAACAAGGTGAAGTACTTTTCATTTCTAAAGTATTTGGGTGTATTTATTATACAAAGCCCTTTTTGTCGATTTTTCGAGAATAACTACATGTATAAATAACTATATCGTGAAATATATTGTTACCGTGAAATAAAATTAGCCATACCGTGAAACAGAATTTTGGTCATACCGCCCATCCCTAGTACAGTATATATAGGCCTACATGTAACAGGGTTCCTACGCAGTTTGAAAAAGTATGGAATTTGATTTGAACTATTTCCTAGTCTGAATAAGTATGGGGAAAAAGGAAACCGGGTATGGAAAAATAATAGTGTTTCCATACTCTTCCCCTATTCAGTTTTCTAAAATATAAAATTAAGAATTTGTAAAAATGTATCATATAAGCAGAGTGTCTTCATGGCAAAGGTTTAGTGAATGTTCAGTGATTGTTGAACACGACTAAATGAATTCAAGGCGCACATTTTCATTACACATTTTCACTGTCTTTGCCATAAGCAAATCTCTTTTGAACTTAAATAAACGAATGTGCACGTGCCACTCAAACCAGCAAAATATAAAGGATGAAAACAATAATCTAAATCAGACTGCACTTTGCTGCTTGGTGATCGTGCAACATCAAACCACATTTACAGTATCAAACTGATCTGTCAGAGGTGAATATGTGTAGGTTATAAAGCGTTTTAGGTTACTTCTGATCATGTAAGCACATGTTATCACAAAAAAAAATAAAAAGAAATAAGATAAAATATTTGATGTATGAACCTTTTATGTTAAATGTGGTCTGAAAATTCTACAGAGAGGTTTGGAAATTTGTGTCTGGAAATGTATGGAATTTTGAAATGGAAAATGTGTAGGAACCCTGATGTAAACTTTCTGTTCTTGCTAGTTATCAGTGACTGAAAGGTTGCAACATCATAAGCATTTGTCAGTGTTTAAATTTTGGGGTGTTTGCACTGCAGGTAACAAACACCCAGATATTCCAGATTCAGTTCCATACTGGTTTCATCGCCCCCGGCACAACAGTCTTAAAGTTTATGAAGTAAGTGTTTCTTTACTCTTCTTTCATAAGCATCACACTGTAATGCTGGAAAATCGGAAGCAGTTAATCTAGATTTAAGCAGAATCTAGATTTTAAATTGATTCAAATTCCTGCTCCACATAATGACTGATAAAATGACCAGCAACTCTTTGCCTGTCACGATTACAGCATGTTTAGACAAAAACTCTGATTTACATGGAGGAGATTTCTTTTTGCTTTGTCGTGTAGCACCTGGTTAGGACACTTGATTAGGGTGTAAAAGTACTTAATTTAGCATTCTTTAAATTCTTTTTAGTATTATACATACAATTCTATGACATTATTAATTTATAGACTACATGGCATATTTGTGCTTTTAAAAACTGATTTGTCACACCGAAGGACAATTTAAGTACACTGGGGAACAAAAGCTAAAATGTGATTAAAAATGATTAAAATCATGAAATCCAATCAACAACCGATACATAAAATCTTGTCCTCGCCCTCAATTATTTTATTTTTCAATAATACGTTACACCTACAGATGTACGTCACAATATGGAAGAAAAGATCTGTCACTTCTTTAAATGTAAACTAACTTTAAATATATGGGGTGACCAGTGACAGCACCCCAGCAAATATGTTTTCCCTTATACATCATAGAAATGTAACCCTAAAATCAAAAAAAAAAAAAAAAAAAATACAGAACATGCTGTTTAACTATTTGCAGCTCTGCAGTGAAGTATCTGTGTGTGTTTGTCCAGGACAGAGCTGGATGCTTGTGATTCTCCAGAGAAATACCCACAGCTGTTTCATGTGCTGATAGACATTGAGGTTGAAAGCACAGAGAAACAGAAAGATCTCACCCCACCGTGGGAGCAGTTCCCCACCAAAGACCTGAGCCCCAACGTGCTTTTCTCCTGTCATCAGGAACACCAGGATGCACTTGCTGTTGCAGGTAACACACAAATCCTATATATTACTAGAATGTATAATACTACACAACACAAAAAAGCTAAACAAATGGTTCTTATTTTTTTAATGAGTGCATTAAAAGTAGGTCTGGGTGATATTTTATTCACAATAAATTCATAATGAATTTGCTGACGATATAAATTTAAAGCACCATTGTGAATATCATAATGGTTTTAATGAAATTCCTCTGGCCATTCACGAGTTCACACTTACATATAATTAGAGTGGATAAGATTTAATAATGCGTATTGGCGTGCTGTCCGGGGGGAGGGCTCCGAGCTCGGAGTTTGGCCCGAACCCAGAGTACTCCCCCCTATGTAAGTGTTTAGGACTGGAAGTGTGGAGAAGGGGCGGTGGAGGGATGCTCCTAAACTATCAATGGAGTGAGGTGAGATTGTTGAATCTATATATACACCTCTTATCATTGATTGCTGAGTTCACTCCACTCGTGTTAATTAACTGAACGTGCTCCTCCCGAACTTTGTTAATAAAACATCATTTATTTGGCCATGTACCTTGCTGTACCTGACTCAAAATTATGACGTTAAAAAGTGTAGAGTCTGATGATTGAAAAAGATCACCCTTTTACATAAAAAGTTCTTAAAAATGTAGATATATTTTGAAAATCATATATAGACTGAAGTTTCTTATGCTCTCTAAGGCTGCATTTATTTGATCAAAAATGCAGTGAAAATAGTAATAATGTGAAAAATTGTTACAGTTTAAAATAACTGTTTTCTGTTTTATTATATATCTTCTTGTGATGGCAAAGTTGAATTTTCAGCAGCCATTACTCTAGTCTTCAATGTCACATGATCCTTCAGAGATCATTTTAATAATCTTATTTGGTGCTCAAGAAACATTTCTTATTATTAACTGTTGAAAACAGTTGTGCTGCTTTTATGGAAACACTGCCACATGTTTTTCAGGATTCTTTCATGAATAGAAAGAACAGCATTTTGTTCAGCATTTGCATTTACTTATTTTATTAGCTATATCGCACAGCCCATAAGTAAAGATACTACTTTCTCATATGATAGAGAGAGGCACGGTGTCCCTGTGGAGTTTAATCACCATTAAAAGTTAATTAGTTTGTCCCTCAGTGAGCCTTTTAAACAAGTCAACTCATCAGTCACTCGCTGCCATTATGTGAGTGTCTCTGCACCATTAAACTAAACACCATCTGTTTAATGTACTTTATTTTCTGCTGAAAAGATGAAATGGAGGGCTTGGACTTGGAAGGTAAGATGTAGTGTAGGAGGCTTGTGGGAGTCAACAGTAAATAGTTAATTGATAGATTTGTAGTTGACTATTGAATTTAGACAATTTGATGGGTAGTTGAAAACTAGGTGATTTTAGTGGCTTTGAGAGGTACAATGAAATGTTATGCTTCTCACATAAAACTTAGAAAAAGGGCAGAGACACACCAAACCGACGCCATAGAAGAACTAGTGCTGATGAAAGCCGACTGTGTTGTCGCCTCGCACCGGGGCAAAAAAGCTGCACTTGAACACACCGAGAGAACTACAGCCGACTGTCAGCTAGTAGGCTATGCGCGTTCTGCACCTGCGTGTAAATGAGTCAACTGTCTATTTCTGCAGATATATTTTGTCTATATTCATCATTCAAAAAGGGAAACCGATGATGCAGGCTGCAGATACACAAACTGTAAACAAAGCAGCGCGTACTTACCGTTTTGAATATCAATACTGCTAATCACTTTTTATTCTACTCCGCTCATGTTAATATTAAAATATTAGCCCAGGAACAATTAGGTAAAATGACATAAAATTAGAACAGCCTTCTATCTGTACCGTTTTGACTTCTTTGCTCGCTGTTTTTCTGTTATTCTCGTGCACTGACTCATTCACTAAGCTGAATGGCCAATCAGAGTTCTCTCTCTCACCGACGGCCCGTCGCTGATTCTACATGCCGAATCAGCGCCGAAAAACCTGACGGAGTCCAACTAAAGCCAACTGTGCGGAACACACCAAAAAAACTAAGTCGGCCGACGCTCAAAAACGGCCCGACGTTGCCCGACGGCTGATCGTCGGCTTGGTGTGTCCTGGGCTTAACACACAAATCATATGGGCAAACTTGATTTTGTTCTTTGCATCTAACCATTTCTCCGGTCTGTCCCTTAGATCCTGCCCAGGGCCATGGGAGTTGCGGAGGCAGAGTGGGTCCAAATGAGGAGAGTGAACCCTCAGATGATGAGATGCTCTCCCTTTCTAGCCAGCAGAGCAACACGAGCAATGAGAAATCAAAAGCGCTTAAGAAGCCGGAGCCCCAGCCAGCAGCGGCCCCTTCTCCAGCAGCTGAGGAAGTAGATCTGCTGGGGCTGGACGGTGACGCAGCTAAGCTTCCTCCATCCTCCCCACAACCTCCGACCACCAGCACCACCACAGACCTGCTGGGGGACCTGTTTGGAGCTCCGCCCGCACCACAGCCAGCCAGCGGCCCCACTTCTGCTCAGTCCACCCCGCGGAGATCCGCACCCTCCTCCTCACCCTGTCCATCACCTCGATCTGGAGGCAGTAAGTATGTTTTATGGCTTTTTAAAAAAGACCGTTGAACTGATTTAGCTGAGATGTTTGTCAGGAGTCAGTGAAGTGACGCAGCATCTTGGTTGATAGTGTGAAATTTGAAGGACTGAATTATTCATTTGAATGGCATTCATTCAGTAACAATATAATAAGACGCAGTGTCTAAGAGAACATAAATTTATTTAAAATTGCTGTAACATGGTACATTGCTTTTATAAAATGGCAGCAATGTAATAAAAACACCCAAATTCAATTAAAAGCTATTTTATTCATATTATTATTTATTCATATTATTACACAATTCTACTACTACTAATAATAATGAATTATTAAATTAATAGTAGTTTTCCCATCAAATATATTTATACTACCGTTCAAAAGTTTGGGGTCAGTAAGGTTTTTTTTTTTTAAGAAAAAATAAATTAATGTTTTTTATTAAGGAACGATGCATTAAATTGATCAAAAGTGTCAGGAAAGACATTTATAATGGTTCAAAAAGAGAGCTGGAGTAATGGCTGCTAAAAATTCAGCTTTGCCTTCACAGGAATAAGTTACATTAATATATATTATTTAGTATATACTGTATTAATTACAACTAATATATTGAAACAGAAACAGTTATTTTAAATTGTAATAATGTTTCACAATATTAATGTTTTTATTGTATTTTTTTGAGCAAATAAATCAACATCTTACTGACCCCAAACATTTTTAATGGTAGCGTAGCGTGTATGTTATTTTTATTTATTTATTAAAATTTGCAATAATTTCCTAACTAAACATTGTTTATGGTTACAAAGCAACATGACCATTTCTTTCAATAATATACCATTTTACTGATGTAAGGTGTGCATATTTTGCCTATTTTTAAACAGCTTTGAACTTGTTTTATCCAATCAGATGTGAGAGTTAGAACTCTCTGTCTGTATAAATGTCCATTTCATCGAAAAATACTGAATCCTTTCTTTAATTCTTCAGCTTTTGACCCGTTCGGGTCTGGGCCCGCACCCGCCTCTAAGCCGCAGGACTTCATGGGGGCGTTCCTGGGTCCAGGTAATATGGGGCAGCCAGACCCCTTTCTGCATGCTGCACGATCTCCGTCTCCTACAATGCAGAGCATGGGTAAGGCATGCGCCTTTGCCTCTGAGTACTGCCAGTGTGTGGGCAACGTCACCATAACAACCAGCCAAGCTCTTTTGTGTTAAGTCCTCCAAAATATGATCAGCAGAATAGCCTTGCAAATGTATCTCTATAAAACAACTCGCTAGTAAATGTCTTATTTAAAGTGCTGATGTTTGATGTTTTGGAGAGAGTGGAATTATTATTGGCCCTTGAGCTTGAATATTTGTTTTAAGTACAATGTGTGTGGTCGATAGCAGCATGTGCTCTATGAAGGACAACTGAAACCCTGTATTATGTTTATCGGAATATGCAAAGCAGATTTACACCAATACGGAATACAGCCACAAAATTTAACACTGTTTCCAATCAAAACCGCATTACCGCAAAATAAAAAAGCTGATATTTATTTGGAACTGTGTGGGGTGGGTGGTAACATCTATGTTACTTATGTAACCCCCGTTCCCTGAAGTTACGTCAAACGAGACTGACTGATAGAGAACTGGAAAAAGTAGCTCTGTATGATGCCAAATACTGTTGATTGCTACATTCTGTTACTCAGAGCCTTGCATTTACTGAAAATGAGAGAAATGTGGTACATTATAATATTTAGAAAATGTTTATTTAATCAAGCATCCATGGAAGATCATATCCCAGAATCCCATCCCATAACTTGTTTTAACTAATCTAATCAGTTAATTTAATGCTAAGCTAGCAGGCTAAGCTATTAGGTTGCTTGAAAACACATAGGACGGGAAACGTTTAATTTTACTATTTTTAGCTACAGTAGCATAATTAATTAACATATTTTCATAATTTAGAATAAAGAAACCAAAGATTTTCTGCCATTTCTAATCAGGAACCAAATAGAGTACCCATAAAAATGTTAGCTATTGAAATGTCTTTTTTATTGTATTAAATTAGTCATTTTAACAGTGACATGTTTTTGCTGCATTTCATATCGTTACAGTCAGACATTTTTCAAAAACATCAATCTCAAACATTTGAATGGTATTATTTTGTATTATGTATTCTTTAACCTTAATTATTTAACATATTTTTGTTTAAGATTTGTTGTAACTTTTTAATCTAACTCATTTTCCTGTAATTAGTCAAAAATAGCAGGTTGCCATTCACATTTGTATTTTCCGTATGACTTTTTAGTATTTTGTATTGTAAATGCATATGTAAGTGATACATGGAGAGCCATCAAGTTAAATATGATCCCTTCACAGGTCGCAGTTCACCTGTGCCACCCGCTACCCCCTCTGTCAACATCCAACAGCCGAACTCTACGGGAGCATGGGAATGGAGCAAACCAGCACCTGAAGGTAAGTTTTGTTAGAACACAAGATGTGCGGTAGGGACACCTGGTGGCCTCCTCTGAAATTACACCTAAAAAAACAAAATGACTCACTACTGACTGACCTGCCATCTGGACTGGTTTGATGAGCTCATATAGCTCATAAATGTTAATCTCTTGTGAAACATAATATGACTGACCTTTTTAAATCAATAGAGCTGGATGCAGCTTGCCCAATCTGGCCAGTAGTTCAGATTTGTAAGTATACTGTATATTAATTTGTTTGGACCAGTGAAAATAGTGACGGTGCAAGTACACATCTGACCTTCTGTAATTTTACATGCACCCTAACCCTTTTTCAAAATATTACAAAAAACAGTTTGCCTGGATGCCAGCCCGAACGCCGCTCACAACATTTTTTGGTCGGGAAGTTCGGTCTGGACTCGATCCATTGAGGAGTAATTATGATCTGTTCAGAAATCGTCGGGCCAATCAAATTGCCAGGGCGGGCTTTATACGATGATGGACAGATGATCTCCATTTGTTAAAATCAGTCAAGTCGCGCTGCAACCGTGTTATAAAGTTGAGACAGGGCCGACAAATGCGAGCAGATTTGTTTGCTTTATTGTCGAGATCTAATCCTAAACGGAGAACTTGTTCGTATATACATTCACCTTTTCTATTTCTCTCAAAAATGCTTTTCGTGTTTGCAAGTACTCCGCGAATCCTTAAATTCTTTTTACAACACCGGCAAAAATCGTTTACACTCATTATTTTACTACTTCCAGCGTGCGTGCAGTTGAATTCTGTTGACAACTATGCATCACTCAACATAAGTCACTTACTGCGTTGCTCTGATTGGTTGTAGGTCTATCCAATTGAGTGCAGAGTTGTTGTTTTTTCCTGGTTCGGTTAAGACACGCCTCATAATCAAAGCCCTATGGAGCAGTATCAGAGTATGAGAATATGAGTATGATGAAGTCAGGCTAAAAAATAGTTGTTATTATACTTTTCTCACACAAATACATTTGATTTAAAATCAAATGTTGCGTTTTGTTTATATATAAAAAATTGGAAATTATACAGTTATTATTATTATTACACAGAATAATAGTTATACAGGAAACTTTAGGACATCCATAAATACAGAGAATTTTTTTCTGATGCTATCAACACATCATCGCAGATCATTCTTGCAAATTTGACAAAAAAAAAAACGAATTTATGTTAGCCAGTTTACTTACCTTGCTTAAACTAGTTTAAAATGTTGACAGAAGCAAAATGTACAACTAAATGCTACAGGAAACCAGATCATTTAAATAATCCCTATTTAGTGAAGAACACTAAATTATAAATTCTGATTTGTTATATCAGGTAAAGGTTTTGGGATGGGAAGTAAGTCCGCCAGCACTAGTCCAACCAGCTCAGTTCATGGTACTCCCACCCACCAGGCCAAACCCAACACTCTGGACCCTTTTGCAGATCTAGGTAACCTAGGAGCCAGTATGGGAGGAGGTAAATGGAATAAAGTTATTTTTAATGAACCCTATATGTTAATAAATTCATCATGGATTCAATTTCAAAATCTGTGTGTTCATTCCAAGGTGGTTCGGGATTCTCCAGCAAACCCACCACACCTACTGGTACAGGAGGAGCATTTCCGCCCATGGGCTCCCCTCAGCGTCCTGCTCCCTCTCCTCAGCACACTGCCTCTGGAGGCTGGCATCCCAGCACAGGCTTCCCCTCATGGCAGCCTGGAGGTGGAGCTCAATGGCAGCCGCCGGCCCAGGGTGCACAACACCAGACCCCACCTAAAGCACCAGGACCCTCTATGCCCCACACTTCACCACAGAACAGACCCAACTACAACGTCAGCTTCTCCAGCATGGGTGGAGCATCGCCAGGAGCCACTGGACCAAAAGCACAGCCTAACATGGGTGAGTAACTGGACACAATCTGCCTTGTGATTCGTCATAGAATCTGGTCCAGTTTTAAGTAGTTGTGCTTCATGCGGATGTGTTCCTTGTAACATTCAAATATTTTAAGCATGCATCATTATTATTGTCACGATTATTCACTTAGTGTATATATATATGCCTGTGGTTTAGTTCTCATTTGTCGGTTCTCTTTAAGGCTTATGTTCAGTTTGGTGTAGGTTTCTTTTGGTTAATAAAGTCTGTTCACTTTTATCTTCGTCTTCGCGTCATATACGCCACATTCAGCCAAAGAGACAATTATAAGCCAATAATTTGATTTATGTTATAGCCAATAACCGATTAATGGCTGATATTAAAGTTCTGTACTATTTTGAAAAAGGTCAAATAAAACACTAAAAACTACAACCAGTTGTTTTAAATACTACAAATGAACTTAGGCATCACAACATACATACATAATGTACAATATGAAAAATCTGTAGTTTTTGCGATTGGCTAAATGTTTAATTTAACAGTGAATTTTTTTTTTTACTAAATTAAAAACTTTATGTGAGTTTTAGATGGTGGCAAAGGTAATTAAATATAAAAAATAGAGGAAAAGCTTGTACAAATAAATATCTAATGATACAGATGAATTAAAAAATCTCTAATATTGCAGAATGACCGATATGGTACAGATATTGTGCATCTCTAAATATTTACTTTACCACAACAACAAAGACTAATATAAATGGCAAGTCTTTCCTTAATAATTATTTCCTGTTTCTTCCAGGAACCAGACCAAAGGTTTCTGCTGCTAACTTTGATGACCTACTCTCAGGCCAGGGCTTTGCTGGCTCAAAGGATAAGAAAGGGCCAAAAACAATAGCAGAAATGAGAAAAGAGGAGATGGCAAAAGAAATGGACCCAGAGAGACTCAAGGTAAAAAATAAAACACACACACACACACAGTGATTCATCAGTCATTGTCAAATATGTTTGCCGTTTAGTTTGTGATAATGATCAGCTGACTGTACATTGTCCCTTACATATTCCTATTTTTAAAGACTTTCAAATCAGAATCAGATTATTATTTTGTAATGTAATGTTGCTATACGTGGATTTCTCGGCAACGTCATCACTGCTTGCGCACGCAACCGGGATGCAGAAAAAAGACGTGTTTCGTGTAGTAGGCTAGTAGCATAGTGGTGGTGTCTGTAACGTAAACAAGCGTAACGTAACTGATATAAAAGCAAATTCGGGCTGTCCAGTAGATGCTGCACTGCTAACGTCGGCTATTACATTACTAGCCTAACATGATAATTCATACATATATCACAGTAACACTTGCAAAATTAAAGACAGACAAACAGATCCAACTAAAATCACGTTTTATTGAGTCAGCAGTTATATACAAACAATACAAACAATAAGGAAAGCTTCAATACTTAAAGTTGTTGCAGTAGCGGACCAGCTCACCAGTCTGGCTTTCTGCCTCTGGTATGCGCACACACCCTGTAATGTTTGCAAACAGGAAACCTGTGTATTTGTGTCAGATTCTGGAGTGGATTGAGGGGAAGGAGAGGAACATCAGAGCGTTACTGTCCACCATGCATACGGTGCTTTGGGAGGGAGAGAACCGCTGGAAACCTGTAGGCATGGCTGACCTTGTCACACCAGAGCAGGTGAAGAAGGTCTACCGTAAAGCTGTACTGGTAGTACACCCTGACAAGGTAAGAGACGTATTTATTCAGTTTACGTTAAAGCACTTAAAAAGAAAGTATGAAATCTTAAAAGCACAGCTGCAAAATACAGTAGCATTCAAAAGTTTGGGGTCTATAAGGTTTTTAAAAAAAATTTTTTAGAAAGTCTATGCACTTATTTGATCAAAAATGCAGTAAAACAGTCCAATTTGTTCAGTATTATACAATTTAAAAGAACTGATTTCTATTTGAATATATTTAAAAATGCAAAGCTGAATTGTCAGCGTCATTACTCCAGTCTTCACATGATCCTTCAGAAATCATTCTAATATGCTGATTTGGTGCTCAAGAAACAATTCTTATTGCTATCAAGGTTGAAAACAGTTGTGCTGCTTAATATTTTTATGTAAACCTTGATCTTTGACTACAAAAGAACAGCATTTATTTGAAATAGAAATCTTTTTAAACATTGTAAATGTCTTTACTTCACTGTTGATCAATTTAATGCATTCTTAATTAATAAATGTATTTATTTCTTTTCAAATCTTACTGACCCCAAACTTTTAAATGGTAGTGTACCTTTCTATTTAAATACCAAGGTCAGAGAGAAGGTGGTCATGAAAAATCTGCTTTGACGGGTAAAATTACATTAATAAGTGGATCTCAGGGGGAAAAAAAGTATGATATGACCCCCTTAAAATATCTAGTTACGGCATTTTAAAGACAAAATGTCTCTGTTTCCTCTCTCTTCCCATCTGCAGGCTACTGGACAACCCTACGAACAATATGCCAAGATGATTTTTATGGAACTAAATGATGCCTGGTCAGAATTTGACAGCCAAGGACAGAAAGCACTGTACTAAGACTTACTGTATATGTTCAAAACCAGTCAGCAGTTCCTGCCCAGATTAGACGCCCTGCAACCCAAAAGTCCTTGAAAGTCTCCTTTGTTATCTCTCCCACCTCCAGGACCCTGCTTCATAGAGACGTCAGAGCTTATCTACAGTATGTAGTTGTGTGTATCTCTCTATCGTTCATGCACTAGGCCAACATAACTGCTGTATGAGAAGACTGCTGTTGGAAAAAGTAGCATTCAGCATTGTTAAAAAAAAACAACAACTCTTATTTGTGTGTCTTACCCTGGACTTGCCTACATAACAAAGTTCAGACTTTGTCATTACACAGCTGTGAAATATGAACATAATCAGTCAACCAGGTCATCATAGAATGTTGGGTAAAATGTATTCAGGAGTCTTCGGGTGAGTTTATGATTTATTAAAGAGGTTTAGTGCTGAGGAATCAAATGAAAAAAATATGTCAGAATTCTGCAAGACAAGCCACACACTGTCTCGGCTTGCAAAACTTTGTTAAACAACACAAAGTTTGGTCCAAATCCTTCATAGAGAGTTATTTAGGAAAGTTTTGCATGCTACAGCAGCATGCAGGACCTTTTCTATTTCTTCCATTGCATTGACTGTGTCCTACTGTACACACCTGCGCTCGACTGCATATATGTGCGAGGGGTGTTTATTTATTTATTGGCTTTGCAAGACAACTATGAAATGTGTGAAAATAAATAAAAGTCTCGGTAAAGTGAGCTAAGACTCAGTGGTTTCCCGGACAGTCAGGGGCTAGATGTTTAGAAAGATATGCTCAAATGAAAGAACACTCAGACAAAAACCTGCAAAAATTGAAAGATCTTGTGTGGTATAACATGTAACTTCTTTCAGAAGCTAAGAGACGCTGTGCTGGGAGGCAAAAGCACAATAAATATGAGAGACTTTACAGGAAATGGGAGGTTTTCTCAAACTTGATCTGTGAAATGCAGTAGATTTAACTAGCAGTTTATTCTTATGTTGTTTTCTACTGAATATTGATCTGTCTGTATATGTTGCACTATAATAACATACTGTTTACAACATACATATGTCCAAGGAAACTCTTTATTCATGTAGTTATTCCATAGAAAAAATAAACTAGTCGTTTTGCAAGTACCTCCAAGTACATGGCTTGTTTCGAGCTATATCTGTACATTGAACGTTAAGGTTGTCTTTAACACAATTTAAGTTAACCTGATATCTTTAACTGGTTAATAGTGCCCTAAAGAACAAGTCATACTTAGTACTTTTTGTCTTAGTACTAAATGTACTAAAATCCGCTTAAAGTTTCTAATGGATTCATGCTTGATAATGAAACAAAGCCTTTTGACTGAGAAATGTGATTGATGGAAAGTGTTCAAATCCCATTGTTTTATTACCATAGGTGTCTTTTAAACCAACTGAACATATCATGTGGACCATTAATATTTTGACATATGAAATCATAAATGCCATTAAGCAACATAAGTGGATACATCTTTAAAATCCAGCTCTTTTAGCATATCTCGGTATCCTCATAATGTACTGCATGTTTGACTGTAAGTGGCAAGTGGTCCAGAAGAAGTTTCTAGAGTGTACAGCCACTAATCTGCCCTTTCTCTTCTCAGTATATTTGCACTTGAATGGCATTAGGTAAATCCAGAACACACTTACGTAACTTGCAGTACTTGCTGTACATCTCGTTCATGCTTTGCCTTCCTCTTTTCGCTATCATGCAGTGATATACTGAAGCTTTACCTGTTATTTGAAGCAGTCTTCTCTTACATTTTGCCATCAGTTACCTTCCTCTTGACACAATCTGGCACTAAAGACCTGAATGCACACAATGGACAAAGACAACATATTAGCAGGAATTGAATTAAGATGGAACTTTCCCACCACCCTCTTGTGGACTGAGCCGTTTATCTTCAATCTTAGGATATAATGTTCGGAAGCTAACCTCTGTATACAATAGTGAATGTGTGGTGTGTTCAATAATGCTGTTTCTCTGTAAGGAAGTGATATGGTTTGGATACAGCTCTGTGTTTGTTTGCTGTATCAGTATTATTGTGACATGAATTTGGTTTCTGTCTTTTTTTTCTGTTTTTATTTTCTCCATATGGAGCTGTACATATGATAATGTGCATTGCACAAATAAATGGGAAACAAAATGAGGTTAGAGTGATTTCTTTTTTTTTTAAAGTGACATTTGAAAGGTAAAAGCTTGTTGTTGAAAGTACAGGGGAATTAAAGTGATAGTTCATCCAAATATGAAAATTCTGTCATCATTTACTCACCCAAACAGTCACTCAAAAACTGTTTGTCAAAAAAAGAGTTTTTTTACTATGAAAATCAATATGCTCCAATGTTGTTTGGTTACCAAGCTTCAAAATATCTTCTTTTGTGTTGTGAAGAAAGAAATGCATACAGGTTTGGAAGAACATGAGAGTGAGAATTTTCATTTTTGGGTGAACTATACCTTTAAGATTGCATAAGCATCATCATTCTAATGGGATCCGGAAAAAGTTTAACTTCAATTTATGCTTTTCATGCAAATACAATGACTAACTTTCAAAAGTCATGAACAAATAAAAAGTGGTATGTCATCACTCTTAAAAACCAGTGAGGAATGAATCATATTACAAAACGGTTAAAAGTTTATAGTGCAAAACATTAGCAGTAAAGAATGTAATGAAAGGACTGACTAATCCTGCTGAGTCATCAGATCCCCTTTCTTTGGCTGATTCATTCGGGTTGTCCCGCCCACATCTTTGGCATGTGAGGGTTTTTAATTACCACAATTTGTTGGGATGAAGGTAAGAATGAAACAAAAAAAGGAAAAGGATAAAGTTTGATGCTAAAGATTGCTGAGGGATCTGCTCTAAAGCAAAATACACTGGCTTTTACAAAGAAAGGGAGTCAAGATGTAATATTTGCTTGACACCATTGACTTTGTTATTTAATGCAGATTGCTCTGTGCCCTATTAACCCATGGCAGCCTGACCTTTGACCCCTGGGAATCCCCTCAGCTTTGATTAGATATAGTGCCCACAAGATGGCAGCAAAACTATGATCATCTTCTATTTCCCAGAATCTTTAACTCTCTATGCTACATCTTCATTTATAAATTAAACTAAATAAAATGCACTTAAAAAAAATAAAATAATGTTCAGCCAATAAAATGTAATTTAGTTATGTGATATGACATCCCCTTTCACTAATAAAACTTACATTTTCCTTGTGCCTCACATTTTTGGACAAAAAAGAAGTGATGGAAACATTAGCACATGTTCGGTCACATGGCACATGGTGAGTTTATTTTAGACTAGAAAATGAATAAAATAGAATAGAATAGAATAATAGTACATCCAAATGTGCTATTTAGAGTTTTTAATTTTTAATGCATATTTTATAAAAAACAAAACTCAAAGACCGAAAAAACTATGCATCATGCATAAAAAATAATCTTTGGGATACACATTTCCTGTGATTTGGAACTTGCGAGATAAAAAAAAAAAAGTTTGTAATATTATTTTAAACTATGATAAGTTTTACAACTTTCCAGACAGTGAAAATGCAAGTATGTAAAGTTTTAGCCAATTTGCCAAAAATTAGTTCATAAGTTACAATGATGGCGTCCTACAAAAGTTCAAAGGTCAGATGTAGAAAACAAATTTTAGAAAATTATTTTAATTTTAATTATACATAGCCTAAATATAAAATAATTATCTTTTTAGAAATGTAATTTCACATTTCAATGTGCATGTGACAAAAAGCACTTTATGCACTCCAGGGTGTTATGGATATAACAGTGCAGCATATTTTACAGATATGTACCTAGATCATAACGGTAAATGGCCCGGGTCATTATGTTAAAAAGTGGACTCATTCCTCCACTGAGTGTCCATAACAAAAAAGCTCTTGTTTGAGCACTGATCCTTCTAACAAGGCAACTCTGAGTCATCCTCATAAGTGACTGTAATGGGGTGATCAAATTCTGCTCTATCAAGAACACTTCATATTCTCTCTACCATGTGAACCTGTCCTCTGGTCTTCTCAGTACTTGAGGCACATTGATAATCTACTCATTTTTTTGTTAAGATATTACCAATCATTATCCCTATAACCCAGAGCAAATGTGTTTCCTTATTGACTTCTGTAACATTTTGCCAGAGGTGGAAACTAAGTAACTAATTACAAATACTTTCGTTACAGTATGCCTACTTGAGTAGATTTTTCGATTTTTTCTACTTTCTTGAGTATAATTAAAATGTGGTACTTTTACTCTTACTTGAGTAGAATAAAAATAAAGTATTCAACTTCGCTACATTTATTTTTCACCAAAGGTACAAAGTAATAGCGCCTATACTACTTTGACAAAGGTGCCGAGACGGAGCAACAGGGCAAGCTGACATTTGACACATAGACATAATAAATACATAGACGCCCAATTCATGACAGGTCTGACTCGGGTACAAAACCAATCAAAACTTTCAGTTCGGCTGGGGGGCGGGGCGTTCAAACCGCGACATTCAATCACTGGCGCTCGTGTTTCGTTTCAATATTTCAGTGAATGTAAGTGAGCTATGCCGGTCAGGGGATCTCTGGATAATCCGTAATTCGTTTGTAATTATAAAACGAAAATACCGTTTTTCTGTTTTTTGTTTCAAAACGAAAAACCAAATAACCGTTTTTGGTGTCAGAATCAAAAAACGAAAAACCAATTAAAAACGGCCCGTTTTTCGTTTTTTGGCGATCATTTTATCGTTATTCCTTTTTGAACAAAGAATGAAGAGAGTCTTTAAACTTCAGTCAATTCGTTTTTCGTTTATAAACCAAAAACGGAAGTCACGTGGTCTATTCCTTTTTTGGAAGCGAAAGTAACCGGAAACACTTTCAAAATAAAAGTTGGCTAACTATAGTTAGCGAGGTGATTGTAGACTAAAACTGAACTAATATAACGTTTTTTAGTACAACTAAAGTAGCACTGGGTGTGAAAAAAAAAACACTTTAGTTTACTGAAATAAAAATTTAAAATAATAAAATAATAACTCTGGCTGTTAGGGAGAATTAAACATTTGTAAGACCATTGGTGACCTGTAACTTCAGATTAAGACAAGTGAACTCATTTTATATCTATCTTAGGATAGCAGGTAGCCTATTTATTTATAAGTTTCTATAATTTAATTCACATTTTAGTTTTGTAACATATTTATAGCCCTTCTTGCTATGTGGAAGCTCAACCAGCAGAGGTCCCTCTCCCCCTTCTCTACCCCCTTCAAGCACCGCTACCAACAGAAGCTAATCACTGAGTTTGAAGGGTGTGCAGAACTTCACCTGCCTTCCAGCTCCTCTTTCTATGGCACTATATCTGCTAAACACTCTCAGCTTCCACCATCTACTGTTACCCCTTCTGTGTCAAAACAAAACTCTTCCAAAACAAATCTATAAAGTTGTATACTTTTTATTTTCCTTTGCATTTTTCTCCAGTGTAATTTTTTTATGCAGCTTGTAGTTCTCATTAGTTATGTAGACCTACTTGTGTGTGAAACCTAGTATTACTCAGTCAAAAAATGATCTCTAGCTCTGGGACTTTCAGATCTTTTATTGCTTTTTTTGGGTTTAATTCTGTTTGATGAACCACCAGGGAAGGCAGTGCTCTGTACGCTTGGTACTTGTGTAAAGTAAAATAAAAGTGAAGTTGAATCATTTAGTTTTTCTCCCTGGTACTCATCTCAGGACCTTCCAGATTTGACCCAATACCTGGAGGCTGTGATCCTGTGCGCTGTGTGCGGGCTTTAAGGACTGATGATAGTACAGCAAGACTGGCCCCAGTCACCATCACTCTCTCTTCAAATAAATGCTGGACTGGCAGGACAAAGCAGCACACCACTCCTTCCTCCGGCACCATAAAAGGGCCTTGTTGTCACTTTCAGATATTTACATCATGGTTTATGGTAAGCCACATCTTTGAATTGTGGCACTACTTTTGTGGAATTGGATATTGAAATAAGTGTATACTAAGACTAATTGTGACTTTGGTGCTACAAGTGCGGCACCCAGTGTCACTAGTAATGCTTCTGTTGGAAATAGTGGGACACAAGTGCCACTAAATGGAGTGTAATGGAAACTGTTAAAAAGAGTGACCAGGGCACAAATTAGTGGTTGATTTTCCTTTATCACCAGCCCAACAAACAATACTACTATTATGTTTATGGTTAAAATTGAACATTCACCCAAACAAATTAATTTTTTTTTTAGTTGTCACAGGTAGAACTATTCGTTATGCTTTTCATTAAGTTATTTATTTAAATGTATTGTTGTTATTCTAGTTCTCATGGCTGTGCTGTGTTTATTTAATTTGCTTGACTGTTTCTTCTTTTGATTCTCCCTCAGTTGTTTTCTTATGTTAGCTGTTTATTGCTGTTATTTGGCTGGTTGTCTGGTTTCACACACAAGTAGGTCTACATAACTAATGAGAACTACAAGCTGCATAAAAAATATTTAATCTACTTAACTAACATAATAAGTAGGCTATATTACACTGGAGAAAAATGCAAAGGAAAATAAAAAGTATACAACTTTATAGATTTGTTTTGGAAGAGTTTTGTTTTGACACAGAAGGGGCAACAGTAGATGGTGGAAGCTGAGAGTGTTTAGCAGATATAGTGCCATAGAAAGAGGAGCTGGAAGGCAGGTGAAATTCTGCACACCCTTCAAACTCAGTGATTAGCTTCTGATGGTAGCAGTGCTTGCCTTCTCTTTGATATAAACACAAGTCAAAAGGTCAAACCCTTGTTGCCTGTTGTCGCCACAGAAAGAGTCGTGCACAGAAGGGGGTAGAAAGACCTCTGCTGGTTGAGCTTCCACATAGCAATAAGGGCTATAAATATGTTACAAAACTAAAATGTGAATTAAATAATAGAACCTTATAAATAAATAGGCTACCTGCTATCCTAAGCTACATATAAAATGAGTTCACTAGTCTTAATCTGAAGTTACAGGTCACCAATGGTCTTACAAATGTTTAATTCTCCCTAACAGCCAGAGTTATTATTTTATTATTTTTAATTTTTATTTCAGTTAACTAAAGTGTTTTTTTTCACACCCAGTGCTACTTTAGTTGTACTAAAAACGTTATATTAGTTCAGTTTTAGTCTACAATCACA